ATAGTGTCATGCTTTAAATCGCATGTGTTCAAACAGAATGTGCTCTTTGAGTAGTAATTTATAGTGTTTTCTAGTAAATCTTGGATAACTTAGATTTAAATTTGTGATAAAAGATTATTTGATTTCCAGTTATATTTCCTCTAAATCCTGTCTCCCTTATTTCTGTCTTGTCCTTTGTATTGTAATATATTTGCCTGAGTAGATCCTTGAATTTTTAGCTTTAAATCGTGTCATAAATCTGGTGTCTATTTCTTTGCATGCGTCTTGTTAGCCTAGCAACTTAAGGAAACATCATAGAAAGGTAAATTTTCCAGTAAGTGAGCATAGCTTTGTATCTTCCTAATGCATGGAAGAGTATAGTATGTCACACATAAGTGTAATGTTGTCAATATATTGTAATGAATAACCGATGTTTCATTGGAAATGTTTAAACTGACCTGCCACATCACAAGTTACTGTTCTCTTGGCAATCAGCCATCCATGGAACATGGGGACAGATGTCAGTGCTTGCTATACTCAGAGCTTTTGCCTCTAACCATTGCATGCGTGTGTATAATAGATGGAAAATTTAGGATTTGAAAGGACGGAATGATTGAAGCAGAGCCATAGGCTTTAGATTGAGGAAAAACAGTTTTCTCTGATATGGAAGGCTAGAACTTAGTAAGCACTGCTCTCTGCCGGGTGCCAAACTCAGTACTTGGCCATTTTTTTGCTATATTTAGTCCACAAGCACATCCCCGTGAGAAACCAGTTGCTGTGCTTGCCCCCAATTACAGATGTGGAAACTGAAATTTAGATCACATGATGTGCAGAGCAGGTATAAGTTAAGTCTGTTTTGATTCCAAAACCAGGACCATTTCTCCCTTGAGCCTAGATTTTTCAAGATGTTCTGATCTGCTGACAGTCTCCCTCTCAGAGGAAACCTTGGAAGTAAAAGCGGTGCCCTGGAAGCAGTGGGGATTGCGGAGTTTTCTTTCTGTCAGTCTAGAAGCTCCCCCTAATGCCTGCTGCCTCTGGCCCTGTGCCATGCCCACTTCATGCTTCCTGCCTTCCTGGTGGTACACTTGTGGGGCAGTGCTGCTGCAGGTGCCAAGTGGTGATTGTCCTCAGCAGCTGTGTGTGAGCTTCTCTATGTGGCTTAGCAGAAGTGTAATTTAGTAAGGACACAGGTACAGATCCTCACTCTGTTGCTGATTAGTTCCTGGCCTGGGAGCTGTTCCTTGGCCCAGTGGAACCATGGCTTGCTCTCTTGTAAGTGAGGTAGTGATCCACACAGTAGTGCTGCTTGGAATGGCCCTGATCTGTGCCTGCCCAAAGTGAGATGCCGCGCTTTCACCAGCAGCCGGCCTCAGAGCTTACCTCTGTTCAGTGGACTTCAGTGTGGTTTGGATATTTTGGTTTTGGCAGTAAGAATTTCTCAGCAAAGGAAGCAGTCTGTTGACTTAGACTCAGACACTGTGGCCTCCTCTTGTTCACTAGTCATCTCTCCTCAGCATGCAGCCTGGTGACTTAGAGGAGACTTGCTCTGGGCTGGCTATGAAAATTAGCCTAGCATTGAGTCTAAGGACAGCAAATATGGACCAGACAAAGACTGGTATGGGATGGTTACTTTTACACTTTAGTTTTACCTGGCAGAGCGAGGTGACTTCTTGGCACTTGTAGAAAGGTCTGAGACAAGGCAGTGGGTCCTAGCCTTGGGTTTCCTCTCACAAGAGAACAGAGGCAGAATGAAGGCCTGGTTCAATGAGCCTAGAACGCTCTGGGCAGAGCGGGGCCAATGTAGGGGAGTCTTGGTGCAAGAATCTCTTTTTGTGGGTGGAGCATACGTATAGTGCCTTACCTCTTCTTTTTTCTTTTCTATTTTAACAAATGATTGTTTTAACCTGAAATTTTAAATGATGCCTGGTAAACAACATGGTCTTAAGTTTGATTTTTGGGTCCCTCCCAAAAATAGTTTTGAACTTTTATGATTCTTGTTAGTAATTTCAAGCATGATGGCCTTCTTTAGAGATGAGATTGCTGGACGTTAAACACGGGGCCTTGAACATACTAAGTAAGCATGCTCTGATTACCCCAGCCCACAGCAGTCTTGTTTTGTTACTACAATTAGAAATGAGAGTCAGACAAGGTGGTATATGCCTGTAATCCCAGCACTCAGGAGGCTGATACAGGAGGACTGCTGGAGTTTGAAGCCAGCCTGGACTACAGTGTGAGTTCATGGCCAGCCAGAACTGTATAATGAAACCTTATCTCAAAAAAGAGAGAGAAAGATACAGAATTTGTCTGTTTATCTGTTAAGATTATATCATATGTTATATATCCTAATTTAAGATTGTATCCTAAGTTAACATTGTATCCTATGTGATTTTAGACTTGCAGCCTCTAGAACTGTCAGAAATAATTATCTGTTGTTTATTAATACCCAGCCTATGACTATGGTAGTTTTTTTTTTTTTATAGTAGCTGGAAGTGACTAGGAGAGGGAGACTGCTAACAACATAAAGCCTCCTCATCTAGATGAGCATGAAACTAGATTCCACAGTGCTTAAAAATAGATAATACTAAGACACGCTTACAGAGATGACTACTCACAAACAGGTGCCTATTTCACTCGATCACAAATGGGTGGAGAATCTGCCAAAACTGCCAAAATAAGTGAGCATGATACTTAGAGACAGATTAACATCCATAGTAACAGGGACTGGCGGTAAAACGAAGCAGGTATGACAAAAAAACAACTTGGAATCTAGTAAATGAAACAGACCTTAGCTAGAATGATACAGTCTGTTGTGGACATGGTCAAAGACGGAGCATTGGCAGTAAGTCACCAAAGGTGAGCCAGATTGCAGCAAGAGAGACAAAATGAGAAAAATTCAAGGCCCTCAATTCAGGCAGGCCTAGAGCCAGGCCCACCTATTGATGTGATAGGTGTGTGAATAGAATTGATTTGATTTTTGACTTAGAGTAACTAGAGTCTACTTTTCTTCTACCTGCCCCAGAATCTTTCTGATAAAAGATTCCATTAGAGAGAGGGCACACTCTGTCAGGAATGGTACTTATTAGGTGACCTGACAGTGAGCTCTTGCTTATCACCATGGCCAATGCCAGTTAGTACCTCGATCAGGGCCGTGTTGGCATCTACAGGAGAAATCTGTACCACAGGGAAGAGCTCACACTTAGTAGAGAACATGACAGAAGTCTAGATGGCCGGCTGGCCAATACCCTTTCCCCTACTGCTTCGCATCCACAAGTCCCATTCCTGAAGGTTGGCTTTGGGCCTATGAAGATGTCTCAACACTGGCTGGAACTCTGTCAGGTTTTAAGACACATTTGGATGATTTTTACCTGGTTGGCAGGCAGGAGCAAGCAGACCCTATGTTAGTGGCCTTGGTGAGGGGGCATTTGAGTGTGAGGAGACAATCCTGCATGGCAGGTCCAGGGAGCAGAGCCTGTGTTGTTGGCCTGGGGAAAGGACCTTACCTTGCTGGCCTGGGGGAAGAAGGGGCCTTCAGTTGGTCTGGATATGAGAATCATGTGTTGCTAGCTGGGAAAGAGAAGGCTCTGCTGGCCTGGGGAGAAGAATCTCTATGTTGTTATCTGGGGAGCCACCATGGTTTTGGCCTGGTGAAGGGCCCTGTGTTTTTGGCTGGAGGAGTCCGCTATGCTGAGCTGGGTGGGGGAGGCAAATAGAAGTCCTAATTCAAATACCATGGACTCCTGGCCTTATTCCTGATATTTCTTGAATAGATAATTTCCTCATTTACTGTTATCCTTTGAGCCATTTCCAGAAGCTTTGAAGAGTGGTTTTCATCATTTCAGGTCTCCCTGGGGAGCAGGCTGCAAAGTTCCTGCCAGGCTAAGTTCGGCTCACCCACAGTCATGAGTTTTTGGAGAAGAAAAGCTAGTTTAAAAGAAATTTTGCTCTTTTCCAGTGCTTTCTGTGGCAGTGTCATCTCTATTTCTCTCTCACTTTACTTGCCCAATCTCACTGTGGCTCACATAGGCACATGAGTCGTGGTCTGGTTAAAGCAGACTTCATGGGCCTGTGCTTTCTGTGATGAGATTGACTGTGAGCTGCAAACAATTGCTACCAGTGCCCTGTAAGAGCACCGCCTGTGTTAAACTAGCTTTCTAGAATTATCTAGCTCAAGCACATGTTCTTTTGAAGGACTGATTATTTATCCGGTAGATCTTTATTCTTGTCTTTTAAAGGAAAAGCACCTAAAGCCAGAAACACTGGCAGATGATTTTACTTATTTCAGAGTTGCTTTGCTCCAAATTCACATTGCTCAATTCAGTTCATTTGTGGTATCTGTGAACCGGTGTCATAACACAAGGTTTAGCACAGAACAGTGCTGCAGGACTCCTGCAGCTTCTCTCTGCCTTTTGCAAGATCTCCTACACTGCTGCATGCATAGTGTTTTGAGAATGCCTTTACAGAGAGTACAAAAGGCTTCCTAGTCCTAGCAGTAAGCCCATTCTTCATAGTTGACTTTGCTCCAATGATTCAGGGAGACTATAGGGACTAAGGGAAAATCAGAATAGAGAGGGGACTAGAATTGGATAGTGACCTTCTAGGCCTTTTTTCCTTGATCTCTCTAAGGGCTGTAGGTCTCAGATCTGTGACTGACTTACAAATGTCTTCAGATGCTTCATTTTGGGATGCCAATTGAGGAAAATGCTTTTATTTCCTGAAGTCTAAAGAGGTGGACCTGGACACTCATTATCCCCTGCTGTGCTTTCAGCAGTGCCAGGGTGGAGGGAAGTCAGATGGCCTGGGTTAGACTCTCATTCCATTGGGAATACCTATGTCACCTTACGGCAAATGGTTGATCTCCATTTCTCTGGAGGAGAATGGGAATCCTTTGCCATGTATCTTGAGATTGGGTTGCCTGTGTGTGTGGACTATGAGGCCAATGGAAGTCTTGCCTAAGAGGTTTTTTTTTTTTTAAATTTATTCATGTATGTGTTGATTTATTCCTTTACTTTGCTGCTTTGCAGGAGTTTTCAACGCTTGCAAAAGAGCTCAACATTTGCAGGGAACAGCTGCTTGAGAAGGAAAAAGAAATTGCTGAACTGAAAGCAGAAAGGAACAACATGAGGGTCAGTGGAGCTCTGGTTTAAGTGTTTTGTGCTTTTTCCTTCTGTAGAGTGTGTTCAGTATTAAATGTTGCTTAAAATTTGTGATAGAAGGCAAAGCATGGTGGCATATGCCTTCAATCCCAACATTCTGAGCCAGGAATGTCTTGAGTTAGAGGTCAGCCTGGGCTAGCTAGTAAGTCCTCAAGCCAGCCTAGACTACAAAATGAGACCTTCTTGTTAATAAAAGAAATTAGTGATGGAAATTCATGACATTCGAATACAATTGAGGGAAATTTACCTAACTCTACTGAATTGTAGGAATTTGAACTTGTTTGACCATGAGATTATGAAGGATTTGAATGTGAAATTGAAGGTGCTCTTTACACGCCCCCTTTGGCCTGGTTTCAGCTGTTCCTGGAACATCTGGAGTTCCTTGTCTCCAGGCATGAACGCTCTCTTGAAACGACTGTGATGAAGCGGCAGGCGCGGTGTCCTGCAGGAGTGTCCACAGAGATGGAAGTGCTAAAAGCACTGACATTCTTATTTGACCACCACAAGACCCTGGACGAAGAGGTACATGAGCTACACTAGTGGTTCTGGGTTCTTACACTTGCTGGGTTCATGGCAGACTTTGCATGTGTTTGTTTACCTTTAAGGTTTGCTAAGTTTTTGAGTTCTTGTAAACAGACTTTCTGTATTAAAAGGCAATGTTCTGCATAATCAACAAACACTAACTGGAATGTGAGTCTTCAATTGATTATTTCTGAATATTGACTGCCCATTAAGAACTGGATAGTGTTCATTTATTTAGGAACAAGAGTTTCCCGGCCTTAATATTTAAAGCCATTAACAAGGACATTTTCTTGACAGTACTAGCAATGAAAGACATTGAAAGTACTTTATTATATGCCTTTCATCAATATCAGGATAACTATATGGAAAGTGTGCGTATGCATATAAAAACTCAACTCTTTTCAGGTGCGAGAGCAATTACGTGTAGCACTGCAAAGGTGCAGCTTGCTGGAAGAGGAACTGGGCGCTACGCACAAGGAGGTAATTGTGGGACATCATCCTAGCCCTGAAAAGGGAAAATTATTTTATTTTAATCTCTTAAAAAACAGTGTGAAGCCTGTAATACTATTGGATTAGATTTTTATTTCAGATTGCAAGAATCTCTAAATTTGTTGTCAAGCAGTCAGTACATTCTGTTTCTAGTAATCTGGTTCTGCTATGGATGGTCAGCTTTGGCATGTACTGTCTTTTTTATACTATGTTCAGCACTGTAGAATTATGTTTTTCCAAATGGAATTTTGCTGTCTTTACTCATTACTCTTCCATAAGTTATTGTAGTCTCATACTCAGTTTTCGATTGTAGCTAATGACTCTTAAAAAACAGAATAATGAGAAAAAATCACCAAGAGATGGAGTGCTTGACCATGAACAAGAAGAAACACCAAGCACTAATGGAAAGGTAAGTCCTTGAGATCTCTCTTTGTTCTGTTGCTGATTTCTTATATTTTGTGGTTCGTGTGTGATGCTGTTTGGATGCTGTTGCTGGAATGGCCTGCTTCCAGCTAAAGTGATTGTTGAGAGTCCTATCATCCAACAGATGGCATAAATCCATTTTGATAGTCCCTATGTTCAAAAGTATTTTATTTGGTAGTACACTAAGGTTATTTAAGAGTGTCCATTTTACCCATCAGAGATCTTCTGCTGGCTCCTTAAGCCATGAGGAAGACCTTGCCAAAATAATTGTGCTCCAAGAAGTCATACACAAACATTCAAAAGAGCAGAGTCAGATGAAGGAGCTCCTGGCTGCACTTTCCAGCCATGTGTCAGAACTGCAAGAAAATCTTGACACAGCAAGAAAGGATCTCATCAAGTCTGAAGAGATGAACAAGAAATTGGAACGAGATGTTCATGAAATAAGTGATAAAAATTACAGGGTTGTCATAATGTTGAGTGCTTGGAGTGTTAAGGATAATGATTCCTTTTTTTTTTTTGTCCTTTCCTTGGTCGGTTATTTTCAGCATTTGCACTGTTGAATGAGTATAAATATGAATAATACAACACAGTATTGCTGTCAGATCGTGACATACCGCCTCCCCCTGGTTGAGAAATTTCTCCTTTTCTGTGGTCTTTTAAAAAGGTAGAGGAGAACTTGCCCAGCTTTTCCCACTTAGTTTATGGGAGTTTGTCCTCCACCCTCATGTGGATTCTTCATCTTTGCAGCTTCTTGGCTGTCATCATGTGTTCTTCTTTATGTTCAGCTTCTCAAGTACATGCACTCCTTAAACAAGGATTTTCAGTACTAGTTGTGCTTTGAGTTCGCTAAAGAGATGTGAGTATTCTCTGGGACTGTGGCAAAGGGAGCATTATCAGGTGTCTTCTAATTTTTTCATATTTTTCCTCAGGCACAGAGGTATGGTATTGAATTTTGGATGTTACATCAGCTCTAATGTGTGAATAGTTTTTGGGTAGTTTAGGCTTTGTGCTTATCTTGCCTATGAGATCTCATTTCATGTGAAATTGTATTTACAACATTCTGCTTTGCACCTGTACTTGTATCTTTGGTTTTATTTCTCTTGCTATACATTTTACTTTTTAGTGGCATTCTTAGCCAGAATATAATCAAATTAAGCAAGTCATTTTAGTGGAATGTTCAGTGTCAGCAGTCTGTTTTGTGACATTTGGATGTATTTATAATTTATACTGTTAACTAACTGAGCAATATTTTTCTTTTCTTTTCCTGTTTTTTTTTTTTTTTTTTTTTTTTTTGGACATATTGGGTTTGAACCTAGGGTTTTTCACATACTAGGCAAGCACCAAACCACTCACCAAACCATTTTCTTTTCTTTTTTCTTTTCTTTTGGTACTATGAATTGAACTCATGATGTTCTGCTTGACAGGCAAGTGCTATGCCATGGAGCTATATCCCTGACCCTTTTTCTTCTTTTCAAACTTATTTTATTTATTAGTGTTTGGTTTTTTGAAAAAAGGATCTTGTGGTGTAATTCAAGCTGGCCTTGAACTCATGGCAGTTCTCCTGCCTCAGCCTCTCACATGCTGGGATTACAGACATGTGGCACCAAGCCTGGCATTGTATTTTCATCTTTTTGACAATCTCATTTATCAGTTGTGTCCTTCTTTCCAGTATTTGTAAAAGAAGTGCAGCAACACATCTGTAATCCCAGCTACTTGTGGACTGAAGTGGGAGGTTTGCCAGTTTAAGGTCAGCCTGGGCAATTTAGGAAGACACTGACTCAAAAAGAGCTGAGTATCCCAAGCATAGTGGGTGAACCCTATCTTTCTAGCTACCCAGGAGACTGAGGCAGACAATCATAAGTTCAAGGGTAGGCTGCCCAATTTAGCAAGACCTTGTTTTGAAATTAAAAGGAAAAAAATATGGGACCATAGCTCAGTGTTAGAGTACCCCTGCCTTCTATTCCCAGTACCACACACAACCACGGAGGAAAACTCTTTCTTCCTGGTTCTCTAATTCAGCATGCTGGCTGACGGTCTGTGTGCTTCCATTGTTGGTTTTGATTTCTTATGCCACCCTTGTGTTTGTTTTATTTTAACCATCTCCAGATTCAATTCTAATCCAGGCCTCAGGTCCCTATCAATTTGTAGTTTGTCCATGAAGCTCCCCTCTCAGCCCCTCCCCATTCTGTGATGGCTCTGCACAGCTAACCAGGCAAGCACGTGTGAGTCTGAGCTGGATTATGACTGATTAGTGGGGCTTGGGGTTTTTGTCATTAAAAATGTATTTTGCTCAGTAGTGATCAATTATATTTAATATATAATTTGTCAATGTGGTTACAAGCAAGATATAATTGGTTGAATGTTTTTCCTTAGATTGTACAGGATCTGCATGATTCATGAGTGAAGTATTTCCTAGGTTAAAAAATAATCTGGGCTCACTGCAGTGGCACATGCCTGTAATGCCAGCTACTGGGGAAGCTAAGAAGGAGGATTTTAAGTCTGAGGCCAGCATGAGAAGTTTAGCAATGTGCTATGTCAAAATAAAAATATAAACGTGGCTGGCAGTGTAGTTTGTTGAGTGGCCCAGCTGGATTCAACCCTGCATACTGCAGGAGCAAGGGGAGGGGCCACTGCTGAGTGTAAAATTTATGGGAACTTTATACAGACAATACGAATCAGATTTTATTGATTATAATCAGAATTCTAAATCTCATCAACTTATAGGGCATATGCTATAGTCTTTAATGGACTACTTTTTAATTAAAATGCCTCCTATCTAGTACTGTGCTAGCTTTTATTGTTACGTATTTTAGGATGCCTAGCTTTCTTTCCTTTTTTTTTTTTCCATTCCATTCCACTCCTTTGTATTCCACAGTATCTCAGATGGAATCTAGGCCTGTGCACTGAGATACACACATGACCCTTTTTTTTTTTCAGTATTATTTTTTATTGTGAGACAGGATCGTGCTAAATCACCAAGATGAGCTCAAACTTGGCAGCCTTCCTGCCTCAGCCTACCAGAGTGCTGTGATTTCATGTGTATGCCACTGCACGAGGGATAAATGATATATTTTAGGAAGTTGTAAATCATATTCTAGGTGAAGATTTTACTGCATTGCACAAAAAATGATTAACTAAAAATAAGTTTGTTCAGTTTTTTGTGTTTTTCTGAGACAGGATGACACCATGCAGTTCAGGCTGGCTTTGAACTCATGTAGTGCAGGTTGGCAGTTCTCCAGGCTTAGCTTCACAAATGCGGGGATTACAAGTCTGCACCACCATGCCTGGCTCTTCAGTTATATAATAGATGTTGCTGTAACATCCTTGTCATCATGGGAATATTAGAGAGTAGGTGGTTATCAGGGCCCTTTGTTCTATACAGTGTCTTGCTTTAAATCGCATGTGTTCAAATAGAATGTGCTCTTTGAGTAGTAATTTATAGTGTTTTCTAATAAATCTTGGATAACTTAGATTTAAATTTGTGATAAAAGATTATTTGATTTCCAGTTATATTTTCTCTAAATCCTGTCTCTCTTATTTCTGTCTTGTCCTTCATATTGTAATATATTTGCCTGAGTAGATCCTTGAATTTTTAGCTTTAAATCGTGTCATAAATCTGGTGTCTATTTCTTTGCATGCGTCTTGTTAGCCTAGCAACTTAAGGAAACATCATAGAAAGGTAAATTTTCCAGTAACTGAGCATACCTTTGTATCTTCCTAATGCATGGAAGAGTATAGTATGTCACACATAAGTGTAATGTTGTCAATATATTGCAATGAATAAGTGATGTTTCATTGGAAATGTTTAAACTGACCTGCCACATCACAAGTTACTGTTCTCTTGGCAATCAGCCATCCATGGAACATGGGGACAGATGTCAGTGTTTGCTTCACTCAGTGCTTTTGCCTCTAACCATTGCATGCATGTGTATAATAGACATAGAATTTAGGATTTGAAAGGACGGAATGATTGAAGCAGAGCCATAGGCTTTAGATTGAGGAAAACTAGTTTTTTCTGATATGGAAGGCTAGAACTTAGTAAGCACTGCTCTCTGCCAGGTGCCAAACTCAGTGCTTGGGCATTTTTTTGCTATATTTAGTCCACAAACACATCCCTGTGAGAAACCAGTTGCTGTGCTTGCCCCCAATTACAGATGTGGAAACTGAAATTTAGATCACATGATGTGCAGAGCAGGTAGGAGTTAAGTGTGTTTTGATTTCAAAACCAGGACCATTTCTCCCTTGGGCCTAGATTTGTCAAGATGCTCTGATCTGCTGGGAGTCTCCCTCTCAGAGTAAAACTCGAAAGTAAAAGCAGTACCCTGGGAGCAGTGGGGATTGTGGGGTTTTCTTTCTGTCCATCTAGAAGCTCCCCCTAATGCCTGCTGCCTCTGGCCCTGTGCCATGCCCGCTTCATGCTTCCTGCCTTCCTGGTGGTACACTTGTGGGGCAGTGCTGCTGCAGGTGCCAAGTAGTGATTGTCCTCAGCAGCTGTGTGTGAGCTTCTCTATGTGGCTGAGCAGAAGGGAAATTTACTAAGGACACGGGTACAGATCCTCACTCTGTTGCTGATTAGTTCCTGGCCTGGGAGCTGTTCCTTGGCCCAGTGGAACCATGGCTTGCTCTCTTGTAAGTGAGGTAGTGATCCACACAGTAGTGCTGCTTGGAATGGCCCTGATCTGTGCCTGCCCAAAGTGAGATGCCGCGCTTTCACCAGCAGCCGGCCTCAGAGCTTACCTCTGTTCAGTGGACTTCAGTGTGGTTTGGATATTTTGGTTTTGGCAGTAAGAATTTCTCAGCAAAGGAAGCAGTCTGTTGACTTAGACTCAGACACTGTGGCCTCCTCTTGTTCACTAGTCATCTCTCCTCAGCATGCAGCCTGGTGACTTTGAGAAGACTTGCTCTGGGCTGGCTGTGAAGATTAGCCTAGCAGTGAGTCTAAGGACAGCAAATATGGGCCAGACAAAGAGCGATATGGGATGGTTACTTCTTCATTTCAGTTTTACTGGGCAGACTAAGGTGACTTCTTGGCACTTATAGACATGTCTGAGACAAGGCAGTGGGCCCTAGCCTTGTGCTTTCCTCCCACAAGAGAACAGAGGCAGAATGAAGACCTGGTTCAGTGAGCCTGGAAGGCTCTGGGCAGAGCAGGGGCTAGTGTAGGGGAGTCTTGGTGCAAGAATCTCTTTTTGTGGGTGGAGCATACGTATAGTGCCTTACCTCTTCTTTTTTCTTTTCTATTTTAACAAATGATTATTTTAACGTGAAATTTAAATGATGCCTGGCAAACAATGTCCTAAGTTTGATTTCTTTTTCCCTCCCAAAAAGTTTTTTTGAACTTTTATGATTCATGTTGTTGATTTCAAGCTTGATGGACTTTTTTAGAGATGAGATTGCTGGCGGTTAAACACAGGGCCTCAAACAAGCTAAGTAAGTGAGCTCTGGTTACCCCAGCCCCCGACAGTCTTTTGTTTTGTTACTACAATTAGAAATGAGAGCCAGACAAGGTGATATATGCCTGTAATCCCAGCACTCAGGAGGCTGATAAGGGAGGACTGCTGGAGTTTGAAGCCAGCCTGGGCTATCATGTGAGTTCATGGCCAGCCAGAACTGTATAATGAAACCTTATCTCAAAAAAAAGAGAGAAAGATACAGAATTTATCTGTTTATCTGTTAAGATTATATCCTAGCGGGCTGGAAGTTTAGCTCAGCAGCATAAACGCCTGCCTTGTAAGCAGGCAGTCGTGAGTTCGATCCCCAGCACCAATAAAAAGGAAAAAGACAAAAAAAAAAAATTATATCCTAAATGCTCTCAGCTCACACTAGTCTAGGTGGTCTTCAGTGAGCTGCTACAGGACTATAATGGAATCTGTATCCTTTATACCATTGTACAGATAAATAAATTAACTATTCACCACTTGTTGTTCACCATGAATGTTTCATGAAATCTAGTCCTGCTTCAAAACCCGAAAATAACAACCTTCTAAACAGGGCCTAACCAGACCCTGAAAGAGTTCACATATGCACTATTTCCACAGTCCTGCCTTCTTCAACACATAGGCATACTCATGGGCCATCCCCTAAAAGAAATCCCAGGGTCTGCGTGACCCTCTTTTAATAATATACCCAGGATTATTATTATTTTTTTATTTAAGGAGAAAAAGAAAAAAAAAAACAGAAAAAGGATACAAGTGATACAGAATTTCAAAAAAAAAATAAATAAACAGTAGGAAGTCACTAGTTAATAGATTACATACTGTCATCTTAGAAATGGTTGTTCAGATTACAAAATTAAAGCATATAAAGTAGACATTCAAACTGTGAGACTACAAACAATTCTGTTCAATGATCCCACAAAAACTTAGCAATATGGTTATCTATCTTATACACTTAAATATACATGCAATTATATCCTTTAGAGCACTTTCTTTTCCTCTCTTTTTTACTATGACAATTATACATTTTGGGTTTTATTACTCCCACAGTTCTTATTACTTTCTATTTGAAGAGAATAAAATCCAATGTGACATAACAAAACAGAGTCAGTCAAATCAAAAGAATGGATATAGTACATAATATAAAAATGGAAGACAAAGTGATGATCATTGGGTACCATAATGCCTCTTGCTATCTTAAAAAGAATTGCCTATATCATCAGTTATAATAAAACTGAAAACATTAAAGAACAAAACCAATAAAAGCAAAACATTGGAGACATTGCAGGACTTCAAAAAAAGATAATATGCAAACCCAAAACCCAGGATTATTTTATGAAGCCACATGGAAGTAGGGTTTTAGGCTGCATGCAAATGCTTCTGCTCATAACATTTGGTCCACATAGTGAGAAACAGAAGCCACACACATGCATATTTGGGTCTTCGCTCATGCTGTCCTTGTCTTGTTTCTTGCTAGAGGTAAAAGTATTGACAGTTTCCCTGAGGCTTCGGCCCCCACTAGTGTTCCTTTGAGTGACATCAGTAACTGAAGATATGTGTCACAGGCTCTTCAGTAATGAGAGTAACTTTGTTAACCTGAAGTGATAAAGTGCAGTGAACAGGCTTCGTTTAGGACTTCACTGTCCCTCAGTAACTATCCTCAGAGGTACCTGAGGTTGTACGGAGAACAGAATCTTGAAGGGGGGGTGATGCTGTCCCTGGGCTTCCCGGGGCTTCCATGAAGGAAGGCTATAGGTCAACCTGCCCTGCTCTCTCTCTGCTATGTGGTCCATTTCCCCCAGACAAACAGGCCTTCAGGTTGGCATTCAATTAAAATGAGACTTCTCAGGACAGGTAGAAAGTTTAGCTAATAGGTTTTGAGTCAGTTTATGTTATTTAAAGCCTATGTGATGTGTTTTCTTATAATGTACTGTTAGCTGATGTTGTTTTTTCACTCCTCAGTTGCTAGCTTGCAGAGAAGAAGAACGAGATGACAAGACAACGATAAAATGTGGAACTTCCCCTCTCTCCTCTCCGAAGTCCCTTCAGCTAGACAGGCTGCACACAGGGGCGTTGCAAATAGTCAGCCACGAGGACATCAGGGACATGCAAAAGTAAGGAGCAGGTCTCGTAGGCCACCAGACCCCTGAGAAACCTGCTTGTCTTAGTTTTTAAGAACATCTATTAATCTTTTCCTGTGAGAAAAACCAAGTTTTTAAAGAATTCTCAGCAAGCTCATTTGGTTGTGATTATTTAAACGTTAGACCTAGAATGTGTTCTCCTGTTCTGCGGCTGTAGTGACATCCAGTGGAAAAGGCCATCTGTTTGGGCAAAGTTTAGAAAGAATAGGAATTATTTGAAATTAGCACTTGAGAGAAAAGCTCCATTTCTTCAGATCCCACACACTCACTTCTTTTAAGAACTTTCTTTCTATTCCTGGTGAAGAATTTGCCACACGGATGTGGCAGGTTCTGGATCGTGCTATTCTGTGGACAATCGGTGCCTCTCAGGTACCCTCCCACACTCTGGGTCTTCTAAGCTCTTGAGAGTCCCACATTGTCCCTATCCCTTTAGGAAGCATGTTCCATCAGGAGGCCATGAAGGCTTGGTTACTTATAGACTGTTGTTTTCCACACTTCCTCTTAGAAGCTTTTGTTCCATACCAGGCAGTATGATCAAGCAGGCACATTGGTCTCCACAGTGTCCTGAGAGATAGTACAGCTCTCACTTTGCAGGAGAGCAGGATCCAAGGAACCAGCCTGCAGGAGCTGCTGAGAGGGAAGGTGGAATTCCAGTTCTGGCTTCTGAGACCTTGTTCTCTTTCCTGAGGGCTGAGTGTAAACCTCACTGGCTGAGCAAGGCCCCTGCAGAGGGTGTTCCCTTAGATGTCCAAACCAGGCAGGCTAGAGTACAGGCCTCCTCTGAGCAGGGAGCAACATCAGAATCTTGGCTTTCCAGACATAGGTCTGTGGAAGCATTACTGGGACCCTGCATTGCTATGCATAGTGTGCTGTGGGTAAGAGACTGGAAAGGATCTTCAGGGAGTTGAAGTAGGAATATTAAAAATGCAGACTGTTTTGGTACATGTGAGTGGACTGTGGAGTTCTAAAGAGGGCATGTGGTAAAAGTCCATTTTCTTTCCTTCAAGATCAAAAAGTGCCCAGGATGGTCCTGTGAGCAATCCCAGTAGCAGTGACAGCAGGCAGGACTCGCCCCACAAAGCCCCAAAGAAGAAGGGCATCAAGTCCTCCATTGGTCGTTTGTTTGGCAAAAAGGAAAAGGGTCGGCCTGGACAAACTGGCAAAGAATCACCAGGACAAGGTGGGTGGGGTTTCGGCAGCTGTCCTAACTGCTGGGAATGGGAGAACGTGAACTTTGTCCTGTGTGCCTGCCGCAGGTGCGCAGTGCCCACGTGGAGTCATGGCAGAGGGTTCTCCAGAAAAGCCCAGTCTGCTTTCTCAGTCTGCCCATGTGTGAACCAAAGCAGAGCAGTGGACATTCATTTGGCGTGAATGAATAACCCTCATAAGTGCTACTTTACACTCTTGAACATTTGTATGTGTTTGCTTGGAAGCTTACCCTTCAGAAATTATTCAGCTCTCTACCTGCAGAACCTTCAACCTATTTGTGAAACATATAATTTTGCCATGTTAATTTGGGGGCTTTTCTGATTTTTTAATAGCTGTTCTTTCTGAAACAGAAACCTCATCTCAGGATGCGTTCCGACTTAGCAAATTGGGAGGAAAGGCTGAAAAAAATCAAAAATTTCAAAAAAAGTAAGCTTTTTGTTATTTCTCCATCTCATGAAACAGGTTTCTGAGTTAACAGTCATTCTTAGCTGATTTTAAGTGTAATTTCTAGCTATGTAAATACATGGTCTTTTGAAAGATGAACCTAAAGCAGTGATAGAGCTTTCAGTGATACAAAGAGCTTGCTGCAGCATGCACGCCATAGGTTTGCCTCCATTGACCTAAAGCCTGTTTTAAGCCATCATGTCTGGAGAACAGAGGACATTTGGAAATTTTGACTGAACTCACACATGTATTCTCAGTCTACCTTTTCAGAGTTGTCTCCCAGGATGATTGAATGGGTAATAGTTAGGCTTGGCCATTTGAGCTCTGGCCGCTGAATCCTGGTTAATTCTCTAGTTAGCTGTGTGTCTCTGACAAAGTTACTTAGCTTGTGCTTCAGTTTTCTCAACTGTCAAATGACTGTTACAGTTGTTCATACATCATGTGGTTTTTTTTCAGTTCAATAGAATTATATATATGCATGTATATGTTTTAAAACATGGACACAGGTCCTAAATATGTTACAATTACAGTGAGGATTCTGAGATCTTGTTCTCTTTCCTGTTGACTGAGTGGAACCCTCACTGGCTGAGCAAGGCCCCTGCAGAGGGTGTTCCCTTATGTGTCCAAACCAGGCAGGCTAGAGTACAGGCCTGCTCTGAGCAGGGAGCACATCAGAATCTTGGCTTTCCAGACACTGGTCTGTGGAAGCATTACTGGGACCCTGAATCACAATGAATATTGTACTGTGTGTAAGAGACTCGAAACGTTTTTTAGGAAGTTGAAGGTAGGAATATTAAAAATGCAGACTGTTCTTGTACGTGTGAATGGACTGTGGAGCTGGGAAGAGGGTGGTAAAAATCCATTTTATTTCTTTGAAGCTCAACAGGCTCCCAGGAAGGTCCTGTGAACAATCCCAGTACCAGTGACAGCAGGCAGGACGCGCTCCACAAAGCCCCAAAGAAGAAGAGCATCAAGTCCTCCACTGGTCGTTTGTTTGGCAAAAAGAAAAAGGGTCCGCCTGGACAAACTGGCAAAGAATCACCAAGACAAGGTGGGCCGGTTTTAGGCAGCTGTCCTAACTGCTGGGATTGGGAGAGGATGAGCTTTTTCCTATGTACCTGTCACAGGTGTCCAGTGCCCATGAGGAATCATGGCTGAGCATTCTCCAGACAGCCCAGTCTGCCCACATGTGAACCAGAGCAGAGCAGTGGACATTCATTTGGCGTGAATGAATAACCCTCTTATATGCTAATTTATACGCTTGAACATTTATATGTGTTTGCTCGGAAGCTTACACTTCAGAAATGATTCAGCTCTCTACCTGCAGAATCTTCTTCCTATTTGTGAAACATATAACTTTGCCATGTTAATTTACTCTAAATTTGGTGAATTTTCTTCTTTTTTGTAGCTGTTGTTTCTGAAACAGAAAACTCATCTCAGGATGCCTTCCAACTTAGCAAATTGGGAGGAAAGGATGAAAAAAATCATCAACTTCAAAAACAGTAAGCTTTTTGTTATTTCTCCATCTCATGAAACATTTTTCTGAGTTAACAGTCATTCTTAGCTGATTTTAAGTGTAATTTCTAGCTATGTAAATACATTGTCTTTTGAAAGATGAATCTAAAGCAGTGATAGAGCTTCCAGTGATACAAAGAGCTTGCTGCAGCATGCACACCATAGGTTTGCCTCCATTGACCTAAAGCCTGTTTTAAGCCATCATGTCTGGTGAACAGAGGACATTTGGAAATCTTGACTGAATTCACACATGTATTCTCAGTCTACCTTTTCAGAGTTGTCTCCCAGGATGATAGAATGGGTAATAGTTAGGCTTGGCCATTTGAGCTCTGGCCGCTGAATCCTGGTTAATTCTCTAGTTAGCTGTGTGTCTCTGACAAAGTTACTTATCCTGTGCTTCAGTTTTCTCAACTGTCAAATGGCAGTTACAGTTGTTCATACATCATGTGGCTGTTTTTCAGTTCAATAGAATTATATATGTGCATGTATATGTTTTATAACATGGACACAATTCCTAAATAAGTTACAATTACAGTCAGGCTTCTGAGACCTTGTTTTCTTTCCTGTTGACCGAGTGCATCCCTCAGTGCCTGAGCAAGGCCCCTGCAGAGGGTGTTCCCTTATGTGTCCAAACCAGGCAGGCTAGAGTATAGGCCTGCTCTGAGCAGGGAGCACATCAGAATCTTGGCTTTCCAGACACAGGTCTGTGGAAGCATTACTGGGACCCTGAATCACAATGCATATTGTACTGTGTGTAAGAGACTCGAAACGTTTTTTAGGAAGTTGAAGGTAGGAATATTAAAAATGCAGACTGATCTTGTACGTGTGAATGGACTGTGGAGCTGGGAAGAGGGTGGTAAAAATCCATTTTATTTCTTTGAAGCTCAACAGGCTCCCAGGAAGGTCCTGTGAACAATCCCAGTACCAGTGACGGCAGGCAGGACGCGCTCCACAAAGCCCCAAAGAAGAAGAGCATCAAGTCCTCCACTGGTCGTTTGTTTGGCAAAAAGAAAAAGGGTCTGCCTGGACAAACTGGCAAAGAATCACCAAGACAAGGTGGGCCGGTTTTAGGCAGCTGTCCTAACTGCTGGAATTGGGAGAGCCTGAGATTTTTCCTATGTGCCTGCTGCAGGTGTCCAGTGCCCACGAGGAGTCATGGCTGAGCGTTCTTCTGACAGCCCAGTTTGCCCACATGTGAAACAAAGCAGAGCAGTGGACATTCATTTGGCTTGAATGAATAACCCTCTCATATGCTAATTTATATGCTTGAACATTTATATGTGTTTGCTCAGAAGCTTACACTTCAGAAATGATTCAGCTCTCTACCTGCAGAATCTTCTTCCTATTTGTGAAACATATAACTTTGCCATGTTAATTTACTCTAAATTTGGTGAATTTTCTTCTTTTTTGTAGCTGTTGTTTCTGAAACAGAAAACTCATCTCAGGATGCCTTCCAACTTAGCAAATTGGGAGGAAAGGATGAAAAAAATCATCAACTTCAAAAACAGTAAGCTTTTTGTTATTTCTCCATCTCATGAAACATTTTTCTGAGTTAACAGTCATTCTTAGCTGATTTTAAGTGTAATTTCTAGCTATGTAAATACATTGTCTTTTGAAAGATGAACCTAAAGCAGTGATAGAGCTTTCAGTGATACAAAGAGCTTGCTGCAGCATGCACGCCATAGGTTTGCCTCCACTGACCTAAAGCCTGTTTTAAGCCATCATGTCTGGAGAACAGAGGACATTTGGAAGTCTTGACTGAATTCACACATGTATTCTCAGTCTACCTTTTCAGAGTGTTCTCCCAGGATAATAGAATGGGTAATAGTTAGGCTTGGCCATTTGAGCTCTGGCCGCTGAATCCTGGTTAATTCTCTAGTTAGCTGTGTGTCTCTGACAAAGTTACTTATCCTATGCTTCAGTTTTCTCAACTGTCAAATGGCAGTTACAGTTGTTCATACATCATGTGGCTGTTTTTCAGTTCAATAGAATTATATATGTGCATGTATATGTTTTATAACATGGACACAATTCCTAAATAAGTTACAATTACAGTCAGGCTTCTGAAACCTTGTTTTCTTTCCTGTTGACTGAGTGCATCCCTCAGTGCCTGAGCAAGGCCCCTGCAGAGGGTGTTCCCTTATGTGTCCAAACCAGGCAGGCTAGAGTATAGGCCTGCTCTGAGCAGGGAGCACATCAGAATCTTGGCTTTCCAGACACAGGTCTGTGGAAGCATTATTGGGACCCTGCATCACAATGCATATTGTACTGTGTGTAAGAGACTCGAAACGTTTTTTAGGAAGTTGAAGGTAGGAATATTAAAAATGCAGACTGTTCTTGTACGTGTGAATGGACTGTGGAGCTGGGAAGAGGGTGGTAAAAATCCATTTTATTTCTTTGAAGCTCAACAGGCTCCCAGGAAGGTCCTGTGAACAATCCCAGTACCAGTGACAGCAGGCAGGACGCGCTCCACAAAGCCCGAAAGAAGAAGAGCATCAAGTCCTCCACTGGTCGTTTGTTTGGCAAAAAGAACAAGGTTCTGCCTGGACAAACTGGCAAAGAATCACCAAGACAAGGTGGGCCGGTTTTAGGCAGCTGTCCTAACTGCTGGGATTGGGAGAGCCTGAGATTTTTCCTAAGTGCCTGCTGCAGGTGTCCAGTGCCCACGAGGAGTCATGGCTGAGCGTTCTTCTGACAGCCCAGTTTGCCCACATGTAAAACAAAGCGGAGCAGTGGACATTCATTTGGCTTGAATGAATAACCCTCTCATATGCTAATTTATATGCTTGAACATTTATATGTGTTTGCTCAGAAGCTTACACTTCAGAAATGATTCAGCTCTCTACCTGCAGAATCTTCTTCCTATTTGTGAAACATATAACTTTGCCATGTTAATTTACTCTAAATTTGGTGAATTTTCTTCTTTTTTGTAGCTGTTGTTTCTGAAACAGAAAACTCATCTCAGGATGCCTTCCAACTTAGCAAATTGGGAGGAAAGGATGAAAAAAATCGTCAACTTCAAAAACAGTAAGCTTTTTGTTATTTCTCCATCTCATGAAACATTTTTCTGAGTTAACAGTCATTCTTAGCTGATTTTAAGTGTAATTTCTAGCTATGTAAATACATTGTCTTTTGAAAGATGAACCTAAAGCAGTGATAGAGCTTTCAGTGATACAAAGAGCTTGCTGCAGCATGCATGCCATAGGTTTGCCTCCATTGACCTAAAGCCTGTTTTAAGCCATCATGTCTGGAGAACAGAGGACATTTGGAAGTCTTGACTGAATTCACACATGTATTCTCAGTCTACCTTTTCAGAGTGTTCTCCCAGGATAATAGAATGGGTAATAGTTAGGCTTGGCCATTTGAGCTCTGGCCACTGAATCCTGGTTAATTCTCTAGTTAGCTGTGTGTCTCTGACAAAGTTACTTATCCTGTGCTTCAGTTTTCTCAACTGTCAAATGGCAGTTACAGTTGTTCATACATCATGTGGCTGTTTTTCAGTTCAATAGAATTATATATGTGCATGTATATGTTTTAAAACATGGACACAATTCCTAAATAAGTTACAATTACAGTCAGGCTTCTGAAACCTTGTTTTCTTTCCTGTTGACTGAGTGCATCCCTCAGTGCCTGAGCAAGGCCCCTGCAGAGGGTGTTCCCTTATGTGTCCAAACAAGGCAGGCTAGAGTACAGGCCTGCTCTGAGCAGGGAGCACATCAGAATCTTGGCTTTCCAGACACAGGTCTGTGGAAGCATTATTGGGACCCTGCATCACAATGCATATTGTACTGTGTGTAAGAGACTCGAAACGTTTTTTAGGAAGTTGAAGGTAGGAATATTAAAAATGCAGACTGTTCTTGTACGTGTGAATGGACTGTGGAGCTGGGAAGAGGGTGGTAAAAATCCATTTTATTTCTTTAAAGCTCAACAGGCTCCCAGGAAGGTCCTGTGAACAATCCCAGTACCAGTGACAGCAGGCAGGACGCGCTCCACAAAGCCCCAAAGAAGAAGAGCATCAAGTCCTCCACTGGTCGTTTGTTTGGCAAAAAGAACAAGGTTCTGCCTGGACAAACTGGCAAAGAATCACCAAGACAAGGTGGGCCGGTTTTAGGCAGCTGTCCTAACTGCTGGGATTGGGAGAGCCTGAGATTTTTCCTATGTGCCTGCTGCAGGTGTCCAGTGCCCATGAGGAGTCATGGCTGAGCGTTCTTCTGACAGCCCAGTTTGCCCACATGTGAAACAAAGCAGAGCAGTGGAAATTCATTTGGCTTGAATGAATAACCCTCTTATGTGCTAATTTATACTCTTGAAGATTTATATGTGTTTGCTCGGAAGCTTACCCTTCAGAAATGATTCAGCTCTCTACCTGCAGAATCTTCTTCCTATTTGTGAAACATATAACTTTGCCCTGTTAATTTACTCTAAATTTGGGGGCTTTTCTTCTTTTTTGTAGCTGTTGTTTCTGAAACAGAAAACTCATCTCAGGATGCCTTCCAACTTAGCAAACTGGGAGGAAAGGATGAAAAAAATCATCAACTTCAAAAACAGTAAGCTTTTTGTTATTTCTCCATCTCATGAAACATTTTTCTGAGTTAACAGTCATTCTTAGCTGATTGTAAGTGTAATTTCTAGCTATGTAAATACATTGTCTTTTGAAAGATGAATCTAAAGCAGTGATAGAGCTTTCAGTGATACAAAGAGCTTGCTGCAGCATGCACGCCATAGGTTTGCCTCCATTGACCTAAAGGCTGTTTTAAGCCATCATGTCTGGAGAACCAAGGACATTTGGAAATTTTGACTTAACTCACACATTTATTCTCAGTCTCCCTTTGCAGAGTTGTCTCCCTAGTGGACAGAGTGGTTAAGAGTTAGGCTTAGACATTTGAGCTCTGGCCGCTGAATCCTGGTTAATTCTCTAGTTAGCTGTGTGTCTCTGACAAAGTTACTTAGCTTGTGCTTCAGTTCTCTAAACTGTCAAATGGCAGTTACAGTTGTTCATACATCATGTGTTTTTTTTTCAGTTCAATAGAATTATATATGTGCACGTATATGTTTTAAAACATGGACACAGGTCCTAAATATGTTACAATTATAGTCAGGCTTCTGAGACCTTGTTCTCTTTCCTGTTGACTGAGTGGAACCCTCACTGGCTGAGCAAGGCCCCTGCAGAGGGTGTTCCCTTATGTGTCCAAACCAAGCAGGCTAGAGTACAGGCCTGCTCTGAGCAGGGAGCACATCAGAATCTTGGCTTTCCAGACACTGGTCTGTGGAAGCATTACTGGGACCCTGAATCACAATGAATATTGTATTGTGTGTAAGAGAGTTGAAAAATTCTTTAGGAAGTTGAAGGTAGGAATATTAAAAATGCACACCTTTCTTGTACATGTGAATGGACTGTGGAGCTGTGAAGAGGGTGGTAAAAGTCCATTTTCTTTCCTTCAAGCTCAATAGGCTCCCAGGATGGTCCTGTGAGCGTTCCCAGCAGCAGTGACAGCAGGGAGGACCCACTCCACAAAGCTCTAAAGAAGAAGAGCATCAAGTCCTCCACTGGTCGTTTGTTTGCCAAAAAGGAAAAGGGTCCGCCTGGACAAACTGGCAAAGAATCACCAAGACAAGGTGGGCCGGTTTTAGGCAGCTGTCCTAACTGCTGGGATTGGGAGAGCATGCGCTTTTTCCTATGTACCTGCCACAGGTGTCCAGTGCCCACAAGGAATCATGGCTGAGCATTCTCCAGACAGCGCAGTCTGCCCACCTGTGAACCAGAGCCGAGCAGTGGACATTCATTTGGCGTGAATGAATAACCCTCTTATATGCTAATTTATACGCTTGGACATTTATATGTGTTTGCTCGGAAGCTTACCCTTCGGAAATTATTCAGCTCTCTACCTGCAGAATCTTCTTCCTATTTGTGAAACATATAACTTTGCCATGTTAATTTACTCTAACTTTGGGGAATTTTCTTCTTTTTTGTAGCTGTTGTTTCTGAAGCCGAAAACTCATCTCAGGATGCCTTCCAACTTAGCAAATTGGGAGGAAAGGATGAAAAAAATCATCAACTTCAAAAACAGTAAGCTTTTTGTTATTTCTCCATCTCATGAAACAGTTTTCTGAGTTAACAGTCATTCTTAGCTGATTGTAAGTGTAATTTCTAGCTATGTAAATACATTGTCTTTTGAAAGATGAATCTAAAGCAGTGATAGAGCTTCCAGTGATACAAAGAGCTTGCTGCAGCATGCACACCATAGGTTTGCCTCCATTGACCTAAAGCCTGTTTTAAGCCATCATGTCTGGTGAACAGAGGACATTTGGAAATCTTGACTGAATTCACACACGTATTCTCAGTCTACCTTTTCAGAGTGTTCTCCCAGGATGATAGAATGGGTAATAGTTAGGCTTGGCCATTTGAGCTCTGGCTGCTGAATCCTGGTTAATTCTCTAGTTAGCTGTGTGTCTCTGACAAAGTTACTTATCCTGTGCTTCAGTTTTCTCAACTGTCAAATGGCAGTTACAGTTGTTCATACATCATGTGGCTGTTTTTCAGTTCAATAGAATTATATATGTGCATGTATATGTTTTATAACATGGACACAATTCCTAAATAAGTTATAATTACAGTCAGGCTTCTGAAACCTTGTTTTCTTTCCTGTTGACTGAGTGCATCCCTCAGTGCCTGAGCAAGGCCCCTGCAGAGGGTGTTCCCTTATGTGTCCAAACAAGGCAGGCCAGAGTACAGGCCTGCTCTGAGCAGGGAGCACATCAGAATCTTGGCTTTCCAGACACAGGTCTGTGGAAGCATTACTGGGACCCTGCATCACAATGCATATTGTACTGTGTGTAAGAGACTCAAAACGTTTTTTAGGAAGTTGAAGGTAGGAATATTAAAAATGCAGACTGTTCTTGTACGTGTGAATGGACTGTGGAGCTGGGAAGAGGGTGGTAAAAATCCATTTTATTTCTTTGAAGCTCAACAGGCTCCCAGGAAGGTCCTGTGAACAATCCCAGTACCAGTGACAGCAGGCAGGACGCGCTCCACAAAGCCCCAAAGAAGAAGAGCATCAAGTCCTCCACTGGTCGTTTGTTTGGCAAAAAGAAAAAGGGTCTGCCTGGACAAACTGGCAAAGAATCACCAAGACAAGGTGGGCCGGTTTTAGGCAGCTCTCCTAACTGCTGGGATTGGGAGAGCATGAGCTTTTTCCTATGTACCTGTCACAGGTGTCCAGTGCCCACAAGGAATCATGGCTGAGCATTCTCCAGACAGCCCAGTCTGCCCACATGTGAACCAGAGCCGAGCAGTGGACATTCATTTGGCGTGAATGAATAACCCTCTTATATGCTAATTTATACGCTTGAACATTTATATGTGTTTGCTCGGAAGCTTACACTTCAGAAATGATTCAGCTCTCTACCTGCAGAATCTTCTTCCTATTTGTGAAACATGAAACTTTGCCCTGTTAATTTACTCTAAATTTGGGGGCTTTTCTTCTCTTTTGTAGCCGTTGTTTCTGAAACGGAAAACTCATCTCAGGATGCCTTCCAACTTAGCAAATTGGGAGGAAAGGATGAAAAAAATCATCAACTTCAAAAAAAGTAAGCTTTTTGTTATTTCTCCATCTCATGAAACAGTTTTCTGAGTTATCTATCATTCTTAGCTGATTTTAAGTGTAATTTCTAGCTATTGTAAATACATTGTCTTTTGAAAGATGAACCTAAAGCAGTGATAGAGCTTTCAGTGGTACAAAGAGCTTGCTGCAACATGCATGCCATAGGTTTGCCTCCATTGACCTAAAGCCTGTTTTAAGCCATCATGTCTGGAGAACAGAGGACATTTGGAAACTTTGACTGAACTCACATGTGTATTCTCAGTCTTCCTTTGCAGAGTTGTCTCTCTAGATGATAGAATGGGTAATAGTTAGGCTTGGCCATTTGAGCTTTGGCTGCTGAATCCTGGTTAATTCTCTAGTTAGCTGTCTGACAAAGTTATTTAGCTTAGGCTTCAGTTTTCTCAACTGTCAAATGACTGTTACAGTTGTTCATGCATCGTGTGGCTTTTTCTCAGTTTGATAGAATTATATATGTGCATGTATATGTTTTAAAACTTGGACACAAGTCCTAAATAAGCTATAATTAAGGTCACTGTGGTGACTTCTATTGTTTACACAAGTGGTCCTCCAGAAGCATTTACCGTGATATAATTTTACATTTTATCTGAGATTGGATCTCTACTTTACAGTGTATTATTGAACTATAATCCTCTACTAAATCTTAAGGGGCTGAGGAGTGGAGTATAAGTGAGAGCGTACTGGCTTGACATACCATCCCTAGGCCCACATAAAGATAGATTCTGAAAATAATATATACTGTTCCGAATGATTTTGCATAGGGGAGCACAGGCACCAACATATCAGGGAAGTATGTACACTTCTCTGATGTAGGATTGGTTGTGTAAGCTGATCACACCCAAAACTAGAGTTATAAGTGAACTAGATAGGTTGAGACATTTTCCTAGTGAGATGATTAATAAAATATCAATCAAAAAGCTTTCTGCAACAAAATCAGACAGTATGTAATGTCTAAGAGGTACAATTTGAACTTGACAGTAGGGAAAGTTTGAAAGCCTAAGGTAAGATGGGCACACTGGTCTTGAGAAAAGGTGAAAGTTGGTGGGTTCTTGGATAAATTTGTATATGGGAAACATCAGGTGTCCACTTCTCAGTGAAGCCAGTACTGTGTGGAACTCAGAGTGCAAAGGCCCTGACACTAGCGTTGCACTCGAATCCCTAGGAACCCTTTCTGCTGGAAAGTTATGAAATCTCACTCATTTTAGTTGTCTTCTCTGAATTCATGACTGCCTTTTTTTTTTAAACTTCTATTGGTATGTGTTTGCAGTACATAATAATCATGTTGGTTCTTGGGAGTTGATACATGTCCATGACACATTTCTATTCTTTATTTTCCACCATCCTTGTATTTTGCCAGAATCCCATTCATGCATTTCTCTTATAAACCCTTGTCATGTATACAGATTAAAAATAAGACTATTAAAAAGAAATATATATATATATATAAGATATATATATCAATATCAATATATATTATATATATATATATATATCAAACATACCAGACTATAAGCCAAAACACATATAAAAGATGGAACACAATTGTACTAAGTTGAAGTATTCCTTTAGATATATTTTCCATGCTGAGTTACAATAACTTTTTTCTTCTATTGTCTGTCTTTTATTTCATAGCTAACTTATATATGAAGTTTTTCATATTATAATGAGTCTTTTGTTTTTTATTTTATTCATTTATTTTTTGAGACAAGAATCATACTTTGTAATTCAGGCTGGACTGAACTCACAGCAGTCCTCCTGATTTAGTTGCCCAAGTGGTGGGATTACAGGCATGTGCTACCACACTTGGCCATAGTAACTGTTTTAAGCAGCTCAACAGTGATGACATGCCATTGCAGGTGAAATTCTGTTATGGAAACATTCTATACAAATACTCAATCTTTGGTGCTCTGTAAATAGAATTTTATAGTACCATTTAACCACAAAATCTGAACTGTGTAAAAGTCTTTTATAATAATTTAAGCAATGAGCAGTTGGCTTTGTGGAGCTTAATATTAAAGCTAGTCATTTTCCCTCTCGAAACCATGCTAAAGAAATAGTGTTGCCTAGATTTTGCCAGTGTCTTTTATTTCACGTGCTCATTTCAATGTAATAAAAACAACAGCAGCACAGCTTGATCATTCACCCCATTGCCTTCTGAAGTTTATGTTTCATGGAAGAGAAGAAATAATTTTCCTAATATGTTTGGCTATTTTGCTGGGGATGTGGCTCGGTAGTGTAGTACTCTTAGCATGCATTAAGGCCTTAGGTTCAATCCCCAGTACCACAATAAAAGCAAAAAACAGAAAACCAAAATGTTTCCCTGTTGTAAAAATTGACTTTCTAACTCTCAAGAAGTGTGTGTGCACCCTCAGGACAGGCTTTGAATTATTTGCCCAAACACATGATTAAATTGCACACCAGGCATGCATGTTTACAGGTTTGTGTGTGTGTGTGTGTGTGTGTGTGTGTGTGTGTGTGTGGTGGTAGGGAGGGAGATTTCTCGGTAGCAAGGAGATTCAAGTTTATGCTGCTTACTCCAAACATCTGTTGTGGCTGTTTCAAGGTGTCTAAGAATGGGTCTTTGCTCTGTACTTTATAGTTCTATGTGGGATGCATATGTGATTTCTCAACCATAGTAGAAAGTTCATAGGGAAAATTCTAAAGTAGTCATCTGACTATGGTGGGCAGTTTTGTGATATCTGTCAGATAACCTGAATTGTAATTGATTTGAAGAAAAAAAGTATTTTGTGAATACAGGGTACAGTTTAATACTTTGAGCATTATTGTTTTGTTTTGTTTTGTTTTTTTGTTTTGTTTTTTTTTTGTTTGTTTGTTTTTGTTTTTCTGAGACAGGTCTCACTATGCAGTTCAGGCTGGCTTTGAGCTCACTTTGTAGCTCAGGCTGACCTCAAACTCACAATGATCCTCCTGCCTCAGCCTCTCAAGTGCTGGAATTACAGGCATGCACAACCACATCCAGCTACTTTGAGCATTCTTGATGTAATAAAAAACTGTTCTGTGAATACAGAGTACAGTTCAACACTTTGGTACTTTCTCAGAAATACAGTACTTCTTGTGATGAGCCCTAACTTGGCTGTAGGCCATGCTCCTTGCCGCTGAACCACTAGCCTATCACATTGACTGAAGGAGGGTTCCCAGGACTCAGTGCACATGTTGACCAGCTGAACTCATGCTCTCTGAGAATTACTGGAAGAATTTGATGCTCTGCTGACACTTGAGGTGCTCAGTAGTCAATGCAACTATCAGCATGACTCAGACTGGAGTCCGTTCATCAGCTCATAGAATGCTGTGTGAAGTTTCAAAACATGGATCTCCAACTCACCTTTGTCTTTGTAGTGCTCTCCTTCCGGTTGTGTGGCATTGTGGTGCATTTGCTGTGGGAAGTTGGTTACACATGGAGCCATACTCAGTGGTACTCTGAATCATATAGTGTGGAGTGCTGGTGTTACCAGCTTTGGGTTCTCTGCTAAACTTCCCAAGAGTATATTTCTGTTTGGTGAGAAAAGTTGCTTCCATTCCTCACTTGTCAAAACAACACACTGGTCCCCAGTACTCTTCCTCACAGTGTGACTAGCATGTGAAATGTGAGCCTGAGCTGCAGCCATGAGAAAGGGTCTCCTTAGCCCTTGTGCAAGACCCCTGAATTTGAAAAGTGTCCCATCTCTTGGAAATACAGTCATGTATTTACTATGGAGAGTTAAAGTTCTTGCTATATGTCACTTAGATAATGTTTATTCTGCAGAAACTCGCACAAGCTTCTTGAAATGAAGGGCAGCTTTACCATTGTGCTTTTGCCTACATTATAAAATATATCATAATTCATAGATTACATGACATTTTTTGTACCAGGGATCAAACTCACAACCTCACACTTGCCAGGCAGGCCCTTAAGCTGCTGAGCTAAATCCCTGGCCTTCACGTAACTTTTATTTTACGCATTTGTTCCCCAGAGAATTTAGTGTATTTTGGTCCAAGAGAATACAGCATAGCTGTAGAACACTTTCCTAGTATGCTAAAGCCCTGAGCTCCATCATTAGTATGACAGAATCTAAAATAGCTGCCTCCTCCAACAGTATGTATGTATGTATGTATGTATGTATGTATGTATGTATGCATGTATATACATGTTGGTGCTGCAGATCAAACATAGCACCTTGTGAAGGCTGGGCAAGTGCTTTACTAATGAGCTACACTCAGCCCCCAGTCTCTAATTTAAAGGCAGGAAGGTTCCCATATCAGTTTGCATTAGAGCAGATACTCTGTGTTTGTGTGTGTGTGTGTGTGTGTGTGTGTTTTGTTTCTTTTCCTTTTTTGGTACTGGGGATCAAACTCATGCCCTTGCACTTGCCAGGCAGGTGCTATGCTGCTGAGCTAAATTCCTGGCCTCCTTTTCTTTTTTTAAAAAAGGGTCTCACTGTGTTGTTCAGGTTGGACTTGAAATCATTATGTAACCCAGGCTGACTTTCAGCTCATAGCAATTCTCCTGCCTCAGCTTCCAAAGTACTGGGATTACAGGTGTGTACCATCATCCTGGCATTAGAGCAGATATTATAAAAATCAACCCTGGTGTCTAGTGTTTGGTTCTATGGGAGAAGCTATAAGCTGAAGAAAAGAAGCTCTGACAATGTCAGGAACAGAGCAATCTAGTGCCCAGCCACCTTCTGCAAAGGGCCCCAGCTTGGCCTGCCTGTCACATCTATTGGGATATGATATCTCACAGCCCAGGAGCAAGCAAATATCAGAAGAAACCAAAGGGGTTTTCTTCTGGAGTTGATGGATATGACACATCAACATCTAGGATTACTGACATATTATTCAGATGCCCTTGGTGGCTATTCAGTGTGGACAGATGATGGACATTCTGCAGAGTATGCCCCCCCCCACTGGTTACTATGTTTTTATTTGCTCTTTTTAAATTTTTCCTTTTTTTCCCCTGGGGGCTCCTTATGTAGTCCAGACTAGCCTTGAATTCATGGTAATCCTCTTGCCTTCATCTCCCACATGCTGGATTATAGATGATGCCACCATACCCAGCTTGATTACCTTGCTTGAAGCTTTGGGGCTCAGAGCTGGAAGAGTTATTATTTGGGAAGTTGAGCAAGAAAAGAATGAATGTTGCTAAAGCTTAAATGTTTGCAGCTTTAATAGAGGGGGAGGAAATAGGTGGTTCTCCTATTCCAAACTAATCATATGGGTAGACGGATAACCTTACCTAAGTGGATAGTCAGGTAGGTGAGTAAACACTGTGAAGCCATTTAGTTCTTGGAGGTCACAGATTTGGACAAATGGGTGTCTGTACTAAGTATGTGCAGTAGCAAGCAAAAGAGATCCAGTTTCAATACCCAGTGTAAAAGGAAGGTAGTTGTGCATATCACCAAACATTGCAAAGAGCCAGAGTAGAGGTGCGCAGAAGTGTCTGCAGGCTCCAGATTCTGCATCTTAACACAGGATCCTTCTGTACACTTTTGGGAACAACTCTCAAGAAAACTGGACTCTAATGTGCCCACCTATCGTGTTAACCAAGGTTAGGTGCCCAATCTCGTAGTCCACAAACTACCTGGTAGGGGAGGTGTAGCTACCTGTAGGTGGAACTTGGGCCAACTCCCCAGCCAGGGTCTTCTGTGTTATTTCCTAACGTCCCATGACTTTTGAATGCATCATCCTACTTCTGCTACCTTCACACCACTCCCACTGCTGCATCTGGATGCAGGTGTAAGGAGGAGGAAGGATGTAAAGGCAACAGCAGTTTATACCAAGCTTCAGGTAGTGGGCCTTGTTCTTGTTTGCAGTACATGTCTGGTATGTACTTTCACAAATTACAGCTGTGCAGTGGTATGTACCTTTAATCATCCGAGCTACCTGGGAGGTCCAGGCAGGAGGGTCATTTATGATGACAATACCATTGTTCTAGGCAACTTAAGAAACTGTCTCAAGATAAAAAGTATAGTACAAATGGCTGGCGGTTTAGTTCAATGAGTGCTTGGTTCCATCCCCAGTACCATCAAAAATAATGAAAACACCAACAAAATCATTTTTAGACTACTGAGGACATAGTTCTTACTTAGTCTATTTGAATAGGCACATAATCTAGAAGTGCTTCTGACCTACAGCAGTAGTCTTCCTCTTCCCTGGCCTGGCCAGAGCATCCAGGACAGACCCTCACTTAATATTACAGAATTTCAGATCTTTACCCAGAAATGGATTTACACTGCTTCTTGGGGTCAGTCAGTCTGTCTGTCTGTCTGTCTGTCTGTCTGTCTCTCTGTATGTTTGTCACACACTCTCTCTTTCTGTGTGTGTGTGTGTGTGTGTGTGTGTGTGTGTGTGTGTGTGTGTGTTTCTTGTTTCCTTAAATGAGTCATAGCAGCTCTGTAGCCAGGTTTGGTAGCTGTCTTAGTTACTTTTTACTCATTGCTGAGACAAAATACCTAAAGGCCAAGTTGGGAAAGGAAAGGTTTATTTCTTACAGTTTTTGGAGGTTTCACACACTCAGTTGGCTCCAGGGCATGGCTGGGCCACAGTTCATGGTGGCTGCAAATAGCAAGCAGGAACAGGCAAAGAGCAAGACACACCTTCTCCCTGCCATTACATTACATCCTGGCTCCACCCCTCTGTGGGTATAGCACTGACACCATCAATCCAAGCACTAACAATAAACCATCACAAATGCACAATACAAATACATGAAGCCTGGGGGCCCACAGACATAAACCATGACATTCCTCCCCTGGCCCCCAGGACTCTTGTACATCCTTTATACAAAAGACATTTAGTCCACCACCAAGAGTTTCCAAAGTCTTAAGTTTCAGCATTGCTGAACAGTCCAAGTCCCATGTCTCCTCCATGATCTATGGCAAACTCTTAACTGTAACCCTTGTACAAATGAAACAAGTTTAAACATTTCTCAAATGCAAAGGCACAAAATAAACATTACTATTCCAAAAGTTACAAGCAGGGGAATATAAAGCATTGGAAACAAAGCAAATCCAACATCCAGCAGGATGAACATTAAGTCCTAGAGTTCCTTGCTCTGCATCTGAAGCAATATGGTTACAAGCTCCAAAAGGCTTGTGTGATTCCACCCCCAAGGCACTTCCAGGGATTTCACCTCCTGCAGCTTTTCTCTTAAATCCTCTCTGCTTGCTTTTTGGAGCTTTCCTTGGATCATCCATGTTTCTGGCTTTTCCAAACTTTTGGGGTCTCCACTGCACCTTTAGCTTCACCTTTATGTCTTCACAAATTGCCCTCTCAGGGGCACACAGCTTGGCCTCCCAGGCCCTTTGCAATAGAGGTAGAAGCCATCTTACCCTCAGAATTTGTGCATTTTCCTAGCACCTAAGATCAGCACCATGTGGATGTTGCCAAGGTTTGCTGCTAGCTAGAGCAGTACTCAGGCTTTTCTCTCTCTTGGCTGTAGGGGTCAGTTGCCTGGATCACAGGGCTCTGTTTAACTGATTGTGAGGAAAAGCTTCTCTATGTTGCCACCATTCTGGAACCTCATGTGGCCTGTCACCATTCTGGAAACTCATGTGGTCTCTGTCGCCATTCTGGAACCTGGTGCTCTGCAGCTTTCTCCTCTGAAAAAATTCTTTTACCTTTGCAGTGAGGCTGCACAGGGTGGGGACCTGCTTCCTGGGATGCCCCCGGCCCATCTTTCTTATTTCTCTGTTTTCCCTCAGCCATCAGAATCTCCACTGTCTTTACAATCCACAGCCTTCCTGAAATATTCTTTCTGGCCAAACTCACAGTATTGCAAATTATCCCGCTGGGCTCTTTCCTCTTGATTTGCAACATAAAGCTGGCTAAAAGCCCTCTACAGTAGCCATGCCACAGACTCAACATTTGATTGCTTTTTAATTTCTTTTTCAAGATTAATCAGTCCATTGCCCTTTGTTTCAGTCTCAGGCAAAGTCTCTGGACATGAGCAAAATGTAGACAACTTTCTGCCAACCCATAACTCACATCATGGGGAGTCCAACAACCACTGCAGTCCTTCTTCCCAGCAGAAATCTCCCAGGCCTGGTCTTTACCATCAGGCTTCCTATCAGCCTTCTGGTCTCCTGAGCTGTGACCACTATCTCCTCTACAGAACTGCCTAAGCTGCTCTAGCTCTATGCATCCAGGCAACACATCCAAACCTTTCCAAACTCTGCCCACAAGCCATTTCCAAAGCCATTTCTTGAAAAACATGGTAAGGTATAGTCACAGCAAACAACCCCATTCTTCGGTACCAAATTCTGTCTTAGTTACTTTTTACTCATTGCTGAGACAAAATACCTGAAGCCCAAGTTTGGAAAGGAAAAGTTTATTTCTTACAGTTTTTGGAGGTTTCAGTCCACACTCAGTTGGCTCCAAGGCAGGTGGGCATGGCTGGGTCACAGTTCATGGTGGCTGCAAACAGCAAGTAGGAACAGGCAAAGAGCAAGATACACTTTCTTCCTACCATTACATCATATCCTGGCTCCACTCTTATGTGGGTGTAACACTGACACCATGAATCCAAGCACTAGACAATGAACCATCACAAATGCACAATGAAAATGCATGAGGCCTGGGGGCCACAGACATAAACCATGACAGTAGCCTACTACTTCTTGTACTTAGGAGCACACTTCTGCTGATCTGTTTCTCTGTGAATAGCTTTGCTTGTTTCAACTAGAAAATTGTTGTTGTTGTTGTTGTTCTTCTTCTTCTTTTTGTTGTTTTCTTGTTTCATCTGAGATAACACATTTGCTGCCTTCTCTGGTACAGTTACTCCCTGGTGATTGTTCCTGTAAGCTTAGCGGTAACTTAAGGAACTCTTAGTTGAAATTGTATATGAAACATTTTACTTAGGAACATAAGTTTCCAAAAGAAAGAAAAGGGGAAGAGAGACTGATTGACTGAGACTGACTAGGGTTTTTGTGTATCTGAAACATACTTGTCCTTTGTGTTCTAATGTCAGACTTACCATGCTTACAATGTTACTGTTTCACATAACTGTGTTACACAAATCACTTTTAGAGATGTTAGTATAGTAAAAGTGTAACTTGAGTCTTTAGAAATAAAGCATATATGAAACCTCAAATCACATTACGGAGTGCATGCAAGACTCACCTACCCACTTCCCTGCAGTACTGCCTTGGTATTGCATGAGTTTCTGTGCTGGTGATACATTCGGCATTGAAGGAGGTGTTGAATGGCTGGCTAAAGAAGAGATCAATGGGTTAAAACCACAGAATGACCCAGTGACTTATCAAGTACCCGTTTACTTAAAGAGCAGTGTACAATAGAAACTGTCCTCTGTTACTTGTTTGCTGTATTAGACGATAATCTTTTTGTGGTTAAAAGTCTGCATTACAGCTGGGAGTATGAAACACATCTATAATCCAAGCACTGGGGGAGACTGGTTACACAGAGTTTGAGGCCAACCTGGACTACATACATAGCAAGACTTTGTCTCAACATTCCCCAAACCACAACCACCCCCCCAAAACACTGTTTTTTAAAGTCTCTCACAAAATTAGGCACTGATGTCTCAACTGAGGTGTGGTTTCCTCTTCCTAGATACTGTTTCTTCATTGTTGAAGTAGGGTTTCATGTTTTCCCCTAATTGTCTTACTACCTTGGATATGAAAATTCTGCTTGAGTTTTATAAGTTGGTAGTAATTCTTCAATTCTCTGAAGTAATGGTGATTTGACTGGGAATCAAGAGAACTCTGTAGCATTTTTTATTTACTCAGGCGTTCTCCATAGTATGTGTGTGACTGTCATTACAAGGATGATGTTAATAACATTAAAACTGTAGAAGATAAAAGGAACTGAGAATATGTGTTATACTTTTGAAAATGCTCAGAGACTGTTCCATTAACTTGTTGGATGTGTAACAGTGCTTCTTTAATTTGAATGTCTTCTTTTTCACAGGCCTGAGTTGCTGGAGGAAGCCCAGAGGCAAGGCTTACCATTTTCACAGTGGGACGGGCCAACCGTGGTTGAATGGCTGGAGGTACATCCCTTTACTACAGAGACCTATGCTACATGACACAAGCTTGTCATGCATCTCCTGTCTCTACCTGATGTTCTGGTCTTTTCATTCTTCTTTCTAGCTCTGGGTTGGGATGCCTGCTTGCTATGTGGCTGCCTGCAGAGCAAATGTGAAAAGTGGGGCCATCATGTCAGCTCTGTCAGACAGACAGATCCAGCAAGAGATTGGCATCAGCCACCCTCTGCACAGACTGAAGCTGCGGCTGGCCATCCAGGAAACCCTGTGGCTCACCAGCCCTTCGGCTCCACCCACATTGAAAAAGGTATGTTCACAGAGGCTCTGTGTGCCCTCTGTGGAGGAGGAAGGCAGAGCCCACAAAAGCAGTAGCCTGCTAATGTTTCCGTGCTGCTTCCTAATCATACAGGGTGGTTTCAACTTAAAATTTCAGGAAAGCATAGTACAACCCCTAACTTGGAGGGGTTGAGTGATCCAAAGAAAATGTGTGAACTGCTTGTGTAAAAGTGTGGTTAAAGCCAGGCGTGGTGGCACATGCCTGTAGTTCCAGCACTCAGAAGGCTGAGGTGAGAGGATCACTGTGAGTTCTAGGCCAGTGGGTTACAGTGTGAGCAGCTTGAACTGAGTAATGAGATCCCGTTTCAGAAAAGACCAAAAAATAAATAATTAAATAAATGAATAAAACTTGGTTAGAAAGGCCTTCTTTAAGAAAGAAGGCTTTTTGAAAGGTAGAAAATTGATTGTCACAAATGTACGTATGAATTTATCAAAACTGAGTAAGTGTAAGGACCTCTTGAGGAAGGAAAAGTTAACATTTTAAGTAGCATTTCATCCTTGAACTTTGATTTCTATTTCATAGTTCAAACAATAATTAGTACTTGTACGGTATATAAAGGTACTTGCTAAGCAAATTATATGCGGAAAATATTGTTTTTCTTCAAGTATACAGGTAGCAAAATATACAGATAAGCCCAGGAATGTATAAACCCTTGCATACAATCCCCGGGCATAAATAAGCACCTGGCTATGGCCCCTTGGCTATAAACTAGGTTGGGCTGCCCTTACTTTGTTGTGTGTGGCTTCTTTCCTTCAGTCTTGTGCGTGTGAGTGCATCTGCATCACTGCACATATAGGCGGGACTTACAGAGTAACTGTAATTTGTGGCAGTCCAGAGGTGCCACTGACATACAGTTGACATGCTAACAAGGGGTGGTCACCTCCCAGAAATCCACTGGTTCCTGGACAGTTCTAAGCTTCTCTTCTTTGTGGATGTCTTTTTTTCCCTACAAGAACTAAAGGAGGAAAAATGCCAAGTTTCCTAGATGCACTGTGGTTGTGTGTCACGGCACCAGCAGGTGCTCTGGGTCTTGGGAGCTGCATGTGTCTGTCCAACCATGCCTGTGCTCACAAAGATGCTGTCCACTTGGGGAGTAGTGAAGAGCCCTCAAAGAGCTTCCTGGTGACTCTTCTGATGAAACATTGGTGGTTATTAGAAGGGAAGAGCAGGCCAGCTCTTAAGTTGCAAAGTTCAGGGGTTTTTCATTTAGATGTTCAACAAACTCTTAGAGCTGTGTAGACATCCTTCTGAGCAGCAGAGCAAGGTCTGCCTACAGTAACTTTATACACAAAAAAGTGTGAAGATTTTGTTGTTAGAGAATTATGAAAATGAACAATAAGCCTTTTTTTTTTTTTTTAACGTATGGCCAAAGAACACTTTCCCTTGGTGGAATGTTTTGTAACCAGTATCAGTCTGTTCTGCAGCTATTTCCACATTAATGTGGGCTTTGTAGAAATGAAGATGCTGCATGGCTTTTTCAAAGCTTTTAAGAACCCTCTTTCAAAAGGGAGCTTCTGCGATTCAGTTGAACTATTGGCAAGGACTAGACCTCACATCAGAAAGACTCTCCATATCACCAGTTACAAACACAGAAATTGCTGTTCTTGGGGAGCTTACAGTGGGCTAGCAGAGTGGCCATCAGTCTCAGGTTTGACTCAGATGGTGACAAGTGCTTTGTTTTTGGTGTTTGCATTGTTTGGCTCTCCTGTGCTCACTATCTTGTGCCCTGGCCTCCTGGGCTTCCTCTGGCTTTGGATCATCTGCTGAAAGCAGCCACAGGAAGCCAAGGCCAGAGCATCCTGTTGTTAGCCTGTGTTGGGGTGAGACTGCTTTCTGTGTGTTTTGTTTTATTCTTTTGTTTTGCTGTACTGAGGCTTAAACCTAGTGCTTTGGGAGAGCCAGGCAAAAACCCTATCATGAGCTATACCTCCAACATGGTGAGACTATTGAAAATACTGTCTATTGAATCATCAGTTACTGGGGAAAGTAACTTTTCAGAAATATAAAGTATGTTCTCATCCATACTTTTAAGCATGTGATCTGGAAATTGTGTGCTGTTCTCCTTATATTCCGACCACACTGTTATTGTTTAAAAGAGGATGAGCCTGTGTTAATGATCTCTGGCTTTCTCTGTGGGTGCCTGAAATGAAAATGTGCAAAGAGTGACCTTTGCCTCGTGGCTCCTTACTGTGCCTGTGGCTCATATGTGCGTCCTTCTCCTTTCTGTCACGCTTCCCTTGCCCTGGATGTGGCTGGTGCACTGGGGTCACCTTAGACCACAGGAAATGTCTGGTTAACACATGAAGAGATGGAAACACTCGCAGCCACATCTCAGATGGTCAGTCAGCCCTGCAGCTCATGTTCCAAAGTGGGTTTCCTACTCCAGACCAAAGGGCCCTTTGTCTTTTGTTGAAAACAAAAGTTAATTTGCATTTGTTTCAAATATAATGTGTTCTTTTTAGGTTATTAGCTCATAGCGTATAGTCGTATTTGCATTTTTTAGATTTTTACAAGAATTTAGTTTATAGATTTGCCCCATTTAGAGAAGATGTAATTTGCTTCTCCTTTTGGAGAGACCTCCATTGAGCACTGCGTTGTGGTTGTCTAACGCCAACAGTCTACTGTATGAGGTTAGTTGGCATGGAAAAAGTCTGCTCCTTGCATGGAAAATTGAAATTCTTGGATTTTCATGAGTTTTTGCATGAGGCATTGATATTTTGAATGTTTTTCACTCAGTCAAGGTGCATGTTCCCTGCAGAATTAATTTGCTTACACTACTAAAGTTCACTAATACTAATAGTTATGTTCTTTTACATTCCTAACAACCTAACATCAGGAAGATGAGGAGGGAAGCTGGATAAGGTTGGAGTCTTTCTATAATATTTCTTCACTCTGTAGCAACAAAAAGCAATTGAGGATGTAAACTTGTGTGACCTGCTTTAGTAGGTGTTTTTCACACCTTAATTTATTCATAGTATCATTAATGACTTGAATGTAATCAAATAAATCACAGGATTAAAGATTACATCTCATGGATAATTTTGAACATTTCCCATATGGGATCATGGAAATTACTTTGAACGAAGGTTGTTTTATTTATGAATAGAATCTTTTATACAAAGTCCCCTGGTTTAGGCAACTCCTGAGTTTATGTACATGTAGTTCGTTGCTGGGTTAGTTTTGTTCTAAAATGTACTGCTGAAAAAAATCATGAAATACACTTCTAAACCTGAAAGTTGGCACGGGGCCTTTCCCTCTATGTCTTTATATTGTTATTTGACTAAGTACTGCCCTACTGTGTTGAGTTAAAGATCTTAGTAATGGAGTTCTCAGAAATTAAGGCTTATCACTTCACAGAGATTGAATTTCAGCTGCCTAACTCTTCACTACACAGAAAGCTCTGCCCCATGTTTTACAGTGTCTGAGTCAGATGACTTGGTTAAATTCCCAGCATCCCTCTGCCCTCTTGGGTCTTTGGTGGGCACAGTGCAGTACCAGGGGACTTGTAGTTCTTCAGCTTTTCCCAGGGGCACGGTATTCGGGGGCTCAGAAGAGTTAGCATATGTCTGAAAGCAAGTATAAATGAGTTAAGATTAGAATTTGCTGATTCCAAGATGATGCTTGAAACAGTTGCTTCTGTTTGCATTTCTAAAGGTTGTTCAGTTATAGCACTTGGTTGTTTGTTTTGTTTGTTCATTTGAAAAAAAGAGAGGTGGAACTTGGTGACACATATGGGTCATCCCAGGACTTGGGAGGTTGATCAAGCATGTTTGTTGCAAATTTGAGACCAGCATAGGCTACATAGTGAGTTCAAGGTCAGCCTAAACTACATAGTAAAATCCTGTCTCAAAATTACAAAAAGTTTAGAAACAAAAACTAAGAAGAAAGAGAATAGCTACTAACTGGGTTTCCCTCCCTGGGTTTAGATACTCCCTGCCTCTAGAATCACTTAAATTCACCTAGTTAGAGGTCTCTCTACAGGACCAACAATGACCATCAGTGAATTAAGCAGTGCATTTCATAATTACGTAAGTTTCAATATATTCCAAAAGACAAAGTAGAATATGGTCACCACTTCAATATGAAATAGCATCAGAGACATAAAGTGTAGTTGAATAAGCTTAACATTTGCTTTTTGCAGTGACCATATAAAAGGGGCCCATGCAGAAGATTCCAGATTTACCCCACATGCAATGTTCTGCAGAAGCTTGGTGCACTTTGCCACCATCCTTTCCCAGACAGAGCTGCTAGGACAGAGCTATGCTAGCACAAAGCATTGTGCTTTGCCTGTGCTGGCACTGGGTGGCCTCACTCCTGACTGAGCTTTGGAAGGAACACTCAAGTGTGGTCAGAACTGTTCGCATATCAGATGTAAGATATGACTGGCTGTGTAAGAAGGCTGTGCCAGCTGCCAGGAGCCATTAATGAGCAGGACAGCTGCAGTCCCACTCTCATGGAGCTCGCATTTTACTGACCTTGAGACTGAGCGTGACTTGTCCATGCTTGGAGCATGAGGTCCCTTTGCACACTTCTTCAGAAGGCTGTGGTGGCAGCCAGGGAGAGGAGGAGGCTCTCCCTCAAACTGAGTCTGAGCTGTCAGAATCTGCATTATCAGCAACTGCAAAAGTAGTAAACAGAGATATGGAGGGTTTGCTTCCGCACAGCTTTTTATTTGGAAGATTTCTTCTACTCATTAGAAGAGAGCATAGTCAGCAGGCCAGAAAACATCAAATATTCAGGCTGTGAATCCCAGGCCCATGAAAGTATGACTCAAAGGACTGCATCATGGTAACATTGTTAGGTATCTTAATGGTTACCATAGTGGTATATTTGTCACTCATCATTTAAAGAAAGTTATGAAATCTTTTCTGTTAGAATTGGAACATTCCTCTTAGCTGAGCCATCCCTTGTATCTTGACTGGAACAAATAAAATACTAGAGTGGAATCCATTGTTCTAAACCAAACATGGAGGCCATGCATGGTGGTTTATGACTGTAATCCCAGAACTCAGGAGGCTGAGGCTGGAAGATATCAACTTAGAGACCAGCCTGGGCCTAGTGAGACCCTGTTGTAAGGGGTTGGGGATGTAGCTCAGGTTAGAGTGCTTGCCTAGCAGGTATGAAACCCTGAGTTCAAGCCAGGAGAGGATGGATGGGAATGGATAGTTTTTATTTTAAAGGATTCCTCAATGTACCTTAGGATTCCTGTGAATGTAATTTAATCTTCCTTAGCTGGAGAGCATAACGAACCATTCTCTGTGAAGTGGTTGTATATCATGTCTATTTTTCATTGTACAGACCTTGGACATATTCTGTTGAATTGGTTGCTAAGGGTTTTATGCAGTTTAGTGCCATTATATAAGATACTTCTAAAATCTCAATTTCCAGTTCATTTTGTATATTTAGAAATGTTAATTTTTGTGTATTCATTGTATATTCAGCAGCTTTGCTAAATTCATGTATAAATCCTAATAGCTATTTCATAGACTTTTTCAACAATGATAATTGTGTCATTTACTAATAAAGAGAGGTTTATGTCTTTCTCAACTCATGCCATTTTTATGTTTTTCCTGCCATTACAGTGGCCAGGTCTCCAGCACAGCCAAACATAAACGGTGACAGTGGACACCCCTTGTGCTTCTTTCCGTTCAGGGAGACATTTGGTCCCTCATTGTGAGGTTTTTAGCTGCAGGCTTTTGGTAGATGACCCTTAATAGATTGAGGCGGTGGGTCTTTCGTCCTAGAATGCTGAGTTTCATAACTGAATGATGGATCTTGTGCCACATAAGGTATTATGAGACATGGCTTTCTTTGCTGATCTCGTAATTGGGCAAATTTCATTGATTTTTTTTTTTTCCTCCTCAGTTGGTGAACCAACCTATTCCTGAGTCAGTAAACCTACTTACCATGATTCCTTATTTTTGGTGTAGTGCAGACTAGTCCCAAACTCGAAATACTTTTGTCTCAGCCTCCTGAGTGCTGGGTTTACAGGCATGCACCACCATACCACACCACAAAAAAGTACGTCCTGAAGCCAGATGTGATGATGCACCCCTGTAGTTGCCAAAACTCAAGAGACTGAGCCCAGAAGTTGGCTGTTATAATGTCCTATGACAATTGGGCATTAAACTAAGATGGACATCATACTAAGAGTGGCATCAATATCTCTTTGCATAGGGAGTGCTTGTGCATAGCCACTGCACTCAATCCTGGTAATATAATGGGAATCTCTGTCTTTAAAGGTTGTGGGGAGGGGCTGGGGATTTAGCTCAGTGGTGCAGCACCTGCCTTGCAAGCATGAGGTCCTGAGTTCAATTCCCAGTACCCCCCCCCCAAAAAAAAAGAAAGGAAAAAGTGTAAGTTATATCTGGGTCAGATTGATTGACAGTATTGTTTTTGTCCGTAGCCTTCCTGATTGTTTTCCTTTTCTTAGTCCTTTTTGGTTTTTTGATTGGCACATTGAACCAGTTGTTAAGAGAGGAGTGTTGAAGTCTTCTAAATTTAATTGTATTTTTCTGTTTTTGTTCTTAGTCTCATTAGTTGTTCATTTATCATTTTAAATTTACTTTTCCTGATTTTCAAATACACTTGTCATTTAGGAAGACAAAGTATTAAAAATAAAATCAAAACCAGCTAGAGCTCATTTGAATGATTTGAATTGATTCTTCAAACTTGTTCATGAGTCATGATCATTCTTTATTCCTATATTATTATATTGAAAACTAATTCAGAAAAGGAATTTATAGACAGGTATGATTTTTCTATAGCTTGGTAAATTGTCCTAAATGAGTCATAAAATTTTGCCAATATGATTTCTGTTGGATAAAACTTTAGGAATTTGAAAAGGTAGGAATGGGAGATCAAATATTTAGAAATTATGAAAAGCAATGTTGTCATTCATTTAGCCTTTAAGAATGGTGTCTAGATTAAAAATCTGAACTGATGTCACTCATTTGTTGAAATCAGACACTTGCATATGGGGACATGGACCACGAGTGGATTGGCAATGAGTGGCTGCCCAGCCTGGGCCTACCTCAGTACCGAAGCTATTTCATGGAGTGCCTTGTGGATGCTCGGATGCTGGACCACCTGACCAGGAAAGACCTGCGGGGGCGGCTGAAAATGGTTGACAGTTTTCACAGGTGAGGCAGTGCAAGTGGTTCTTCCTAACGGATCAAGAGACTTCACATTGCCACCGTAAAATAACCCCTTATTTTGTAAATAGGAACAGCTTCCAGTGTGGACTTATGTGCCTGAAAAGGTTAAATTATGATCGGAAAGAACTGGAAAGAAGAAGAGAAGAAAGTCAGCATGTAGTTAAAGGCAAGTACATTATGCCGGATGGATGCAGCACATGCCTGCTGCCTCCCAGGCAGCCTGGGTGATTGCCTGTTTGAAAAAGTATAGCAGCCAGCTGAGCTGGCACATACCTGCAATCCTAGCACTCTGGGAGGATATAGCAGCAGAGTCACAAGCCTAGCCCAGGCAGCTTGGACTCCGTGAAACCTTCTCTCAAAATGAAAAGTATAACAGGGCTAGAGATGCAGCTCAGTGCAAATCCCTGTGTTTATTCCTGAGTACCTCAAAAAGAAATCAAGGGCTTAGTGATAAGGCACTTGCTTACCACTTGCATTGCCCTGGGTTTGATCCCTAGGACTGAAAAAAAAAAAAAGCACAAAATAATCATACATTTATCTGGGAATTACACAAATTACAGTTCCAGCTACTAAGAATACTAAGGCAGGAAGATCACAGATTCAGGGCCGACCTGGCAATTTAGTGAGACCCTGTCTCAGAACACTAAAACTAGATTTGAAAATTAGGGGTGCTAAGAATGTAGTTCAGTGAAAAAAGACTTGCCTAGCATGCTCAGGGCTCTGGCTTCTGTCTCTAGTACCACAAAAAAATAAATCAGGGAAGACTTTTAAGTGGAAACAACTGGCTTGGCATGATAACAAGAGGAGGGATGAAAAGGGGTGCCCTGAGACAGTGTGTGCTTATCTCAGTCTGTAGGCTACCCTCTTGGTGCTGGCATTCTTTCATGTAGTTTTCCTTTTGTTGTTGTACACTGTATACGCTCTCTCAGAGATGCTGCCTTATGCTATTAGATCAGAGCAAGGCAAACAAGCCACTGCCTTTTGCTTACTGGATAGAGGTTAAAACTACAGCTTTGGGAGCTTTTTCTAAGGCCTGTGGCAGCATGCAGGGCACACAGTTCTGCTCCCAGAGGGAGGGAGAGGTCAAGGCAACCAATAGCCTAGCACCCATAATTTTGTAATTTATTTATTTATTTTGAGACAGAATTTCACTAAGTACCCTGGTCTGGGATTACACCTGTGACCCTCCTGCCACAGCACCCATACTAACTGGGATTGCAGTCCTTACAGAAACCACAGAGTGTCCTGTGGGCAAAGGAAAGACATGTCAGAAACAGGCCAGGAGGTAGGAGAGGGCATGGCAGCCCCCTCAGTATGACAGGGACAGGCATTTTCTCTGAAGACAACACTGAATGTCATGCTCACGAGAGTCTCTCAGAATTCTCGGTAGTTACTAATAGCACTGCAGTGATGAGAAGAAATGAGACTTACTGAATAATGATCAAGCACTGTGTCAAGTCTTCCATAGTTGATTCATTCAGGCTGCATCGTGGTTCTGTTATTTTCATCCTCATTCTGATGTCTTTTTCTAAATAAAATAAAGGATTATCTATTGGCCAGGGATGTAGCCCTGTGGTAGGACACTTGCCTAGTCTGTGCAAGGCCTGGGTTTTAATTCTTTTAAAACAAAGAATACGTTGAGGTCTATTTAGAAAAGAAAGTCATGGCCGGGGATATAGCTCAACAACAGAGCGGCTGCCTGGCAAGTGCAAGGTCATGAGTTTGATCCCTGGTACCAAAACAAAGTTGAGAAAAAAAATCAGACATGAAATGTATTAATCCATTTAATTTGTTTTCTATATCCCCTCTCCATATTTTGTCAGTTGGCAAAAGCAGTCTTTGAAAAGATTGGTGGTCAGATATATTTTTACAGAGTGGCAATTTTTTGATCTGTAATAGAATACATTTAATAATTATCTTTGTATGATATACGATTGCCAAAATCTAATATGCTGGAATGTCTTTAAAATTCTTTCTTTGTAATATATTAAGATGTTGATATGACCAAAGCTTCAGAAGCACAGGGGCTGGGGTATGGCTCAGTGGCTTAGCACCTACCTGGTAAGCACAAGGCTCTGAGTTTGATTCCCAGTACAACAACAAGAAAAAGTAAAAGAAAACGAAGGTCAGAAGGTCAGAAGCAAAGAGTTTGTGTTGAACTCAGCAAGGTATCTGAACTGTCATGGTATCTGCCCCTTTCATGATGGAGAAGCATTTCAGGAGACTCTGGGGTCTGTGTAGGAAACATGCTTATACGTGCTAGGTCTGACTCTGACCCTCAGCCTGATGTTTTTGCAGTCTTAGGATTGAACCCCAGGCCTTGTACATACTAGGCAAGTGATCTGCCACCAAGCTACATCCTCAGCCAATCATGCTGTATTGTTCCCTGAATATATCCTATCCACAATCTTACTGTGACACCTGAGTGCACTAGGGGAGGCTTCTAAAGGGAAAGTTTTTATTAGAATGAGGCAGAACCAAAACAGCTGTGTCTAGGTGTGTGTCTGTCAGTATTTGTGAGTGTGGAGTCCATTTTCAGGAGCTGAGGGATCAAGATCCATGCTAGGAATCTTTCCCCTGCATTGCAGGACATGTATGATGAAGAGGTTTTCTGAAGCCACATTTACAGTTGTTTTGTTCTTTCACAGATGTGCTTGTTTGGAGCAATGATCGAGTGATTCGCTGGGTCATATCCATTGGCCTTAAAGAATATGCAAACAACCTCATAGAGAGTGGGGTTCATGGCGCACAGCTGGCCTTAGATGAAGCCTTCGATTACAACACATTGGCCCTGTTGTTACAGATCCCGACAGAGAACAGAAAGGTGACAACGGAGTCTGTGCCTCTGTCTGCTTAGCCACAGTGTTCGGTTTTTCTGTGGTTCTAGAATACTTATTTTTCATTTGAATGGAGAGAAAATTTAACTCTAGACAACTAGTAATCACTTTCCATAACTAATCTATAATATGGTAGTTCAAAATAAGCAAATGCTTGATTTTTCACTATCTTTTCTTTCCAGTTTGTGTTGCAAGCATGTGAGTCTTTGAAGTCTTTGTTTTAAAAAATTGTAATGTGTAACATCCTTCAGATATATTTAGTTGTTGTTTTGTTACTTCAGGCTCGAAATGTCTTGGACAAAGAATTTGCCGACCTTTTGGTCCTTGGGACTGTCAGACGTTTTGATGTTGTAAGTTTTCAGCTTTTTTCTCCTCTCACTGCTAGGAATCAACCTCAGGGCTTCACATATGCCAGTTGAGTGCTCTACTACTGATCCTTGCTCTTGGTCCACTACTTAATTTTTGGCAACCTTCAAAAATTATTTCTATATTGTCAAACAGATTGCAGCCTGCGATCAAAGTCTTAAGTTGTGTTTTGGTGACAGCTGACTGTCCTGCCCCAGTTCTTCTGTTTGGAAGGTTTCTTTCAAAAGTATATTAAATTTCCCCTCATGCTAAATCATAACTAACCTGTTGCCATACATTACGATTGTCTTCAGTGAGCTCCAAGAGTACTTGATTTTCACAAAGAAGATGGAAGCTGAATCTGGAAGCAAAGCATTTGTTGGATTATTTGTAGCCAGAATATTTTGAAAATAAATAAAAGTACATTATATAGCAGGCAAGAGCTTGTCCACAGTAAGAAATAAAATATTCTGATGGGTGAGAAAATCACATCCCTGGTGCCCAGGACTGCCCTCGTTTCTCCAGTTGGGGCCCAGCAGGAATGTAATCATGTTTCCTCTCACACTGAAGTTCCAGTGTGTGCAGCACATTGGAAGGTCACCAGGAAAGGCTAAGTAAAGCAAAACAGTCAGGGGCTTAGGAGTCCTTCTGAAGGACAGTTATCTTTATTAGAGTGTGCCTGTTCTGTGTTTTCATTTGCCAGGAGCATGACAAACACTTTAGGAGAGCACCTTCATGGAGAGAGAAGGTTAGAGAAAAGGCCATTCATGGCGTGGCAACTGGGTCATCAGAGACACTCCCTGCAAACTTCCGAGTCTCTTCTTCCAAGTCTTCCCACTCTGTGCAGCCCAATGAGATCCAGATGGATGGTATGTGGTGGGCCATGTAATGCAACACTGGCTGGGAGCATGTGCGCGCTAATAATTACCTAGAGTGGCCATTGTATGTGTTACAAAGCATCTGAGTTTGGTTGCATGCCCAGGTGTCAATGGTTCAGGATTAGCCCTAACATTTGTTGGAAAATGGTTAACAACAATAATAGAATTTTTAAAAAATCTGTCTGGTTGAACCTTAGCATCCTTGCCCAACTAATAAAGTGGAGCACCCATCTGTGCTCTCAGGGCTGAGGCTGATGCACCTGTGGGGTGCAGTGTGTGGCAGGCAGCACTGGCTTGCCAGGAAAATTGCAGTGTGACACTTGGGACTTCTCTCCACACTAGAAGAGATGGCAGAGTAAACTTTAGCTCACAACTTCCAGCTTCTGCCAACTCTGTCTTTCCTTTTCCCTTCCCTCCAGTGTTATCTTTCCATATACTTACCTTGTGCCACCTGAAGAGGGACAGGGAAGAAGGCAGAAGCCTTGTGGAGACCGCTAGGGCAGCCCTGCTGCCTTCTCAGTGAGAGATGGCAAGGCATTGACCTTTCCAGTGCAGTCGGGATGGCCCTTATGTAACTGCTGACTGAAGAGTGCAGTTGGCTGAGAGGAGACCTTGAGTCCCTGACAGTCCTGCCCACCTAGTAAAAGGCACTGATAGGGTCCTGAGAGAGCCCACATCCACATCCAGCTCTTGTGGTAGCAGGGACATGACCTTGAGCAAGTCATGCAGCTGTGCTGTGCCTCAGTTTCCATATCTGTAACTTGGGCATCATAGTAATGTGATTTTGATGCTTCAATGTGTCATGTGGGTGAAGCTGATGGAGTCCTGAGCCTCGTGCATTGCTGACAATCTCAGTGTTAGGTGGAGACTTCATTCCTTCTCATTCCTGATGTACATGGTTGTGCTGTATAAACTGTACCAGTGGGGTTGTTACAAGTTTCCTGTTGTTAGCCCCCTGTGTAGGTAGTTTTCCTTTTTTCTCTTTCTTGCCTGTATGAAAATCAGAGAAAAATACATTTATATAAACTTTTTAAAGCTGAACACTTTCCAGTGTGTCTTTTAACTAGTAAGTTCTTAAGAATTAACACTTTCTCCCTCAAGGTGTCTTACAAATGTTGGCAAGGCATGGAAGTGCATGCCTGTAATTCCAGTACTTGGGAGGCTCAGGCAGGAAAATCATGAATCTGAGATGTATGTGAATCATAAATCCAGGTTAAGGCTATACTGAGCTTCATAGGAAGACCTTGTATCATAAATAAAATAGATAAGTAAGTAAGCTGTGACGGGCCTTGAGCTTAATTTCCATTGGCTTACTAAATAGTCTAAATGAGTACTCTGTTGTTTTCCCTGTACCTTCAATTTCTGTTTCACTATAAGAATCACATTTTCTCTCTGAACATTGCAAGCAATATTAACATAGCTGGGTGTGGAGATCACCTGTAATCCCGGCACTGGGGAAGCTAAGGCAGGAAGGTTGCTGAGAGCTCAGTACCAGCCTCGAATTCACAGGGATTGTAGGGCCAGTGTGAACTACACAGGGAGACCTTGTTTCAACAAAACAAAACAAAAATAAAGGGTAGTATTAATGAGTCTGTTTGTTGTTGATTTGTTTTTTTGGAGGCATTTTTGTGGTTGTGGTTGTTGTTTTGGGGTTTGGGGTGGTACTGGGGAGGGAGCCTTCTACCTGTACTACACATCACCCCTTCTTTTATTATCCAGAAAGGGTCTTGTTAAATTGTCCAGGCCTGGTTTGAACTTGGAGTTTTCCTGCCTCAACCTCCCAGAGTGCTAGGATTACAGGCATGTGCAGGCAAACTGTGTAACACTAAATTTAAATGGATTGAATAGAAAAAGTTGTCAGGGTAAATTACATAGAAGATGTCTATGCCACATTGGTAAGAAGGTGGACTGTTACAAATGACTTGCGAGGTGGAGAGTATAAGATAAATTACAGCATGTCTCCTAGACTTTAGAATGAAGGTTTACAATGACTGCCCAGTCTTACCAACACGGCCAGCTATCTGTCTTTTCTAGAGCTATGGCAAGATGTTGCTAAGAAGTATTCCTGGTATACTTGCAGGAAAACAAAACACTGTACAACTGGGAGTGTAAATATCTGCAGAAGATGTTGCAAGCTCTTTACCCAGTTTGTGACAGGGCTGTACTGCCTGTTTAGCCACCCAGTGTTTGTCAAACAAGGACCCCTGCCTCCGTGTTCTCCATCCTTTTTTGTAGAAACTGAGACAAGCTTTAGTCTTCTGAGAAGCACTGGCCATGGCCTCTGGGCTGTGCCTCTTTGCCTGCAACCCACCCTGAGAGCAGTGCCTGCAGAGCAGCTGGGGTTCCCTCCTCCCCTTCGTGCTGCTGATTCACCCCATTCATTCCTGGAGGTCTAGCTGTAGGGCACAAGGAAAAGTCCAGTTGCTATATCAAAGTGTGGCTTAAGGAGCTGCAGAGTAGCTATGTTAGGTGGTTGTCCTCTCTGTATGTGCACACTGAGGTGGTTTGCACTTCCAAGGGGCCCTATTGCTATTTTAGGTGCCAGTGTCCCCTTGGGTGGTGACAGAACCACTCTGGGCAGCCCTCTGATGCTCTTGCCTCACTCTCCCAGGCAGTCTTAGGATTCCTCAGTAGACACCATTGTAGGTGTGGAGATGTGTGTCTTACCTGTGCCCCGTGTGAAGTGTTAAAACTAACAGCACTTTGTTTTTGCACACTTCCTCTCATGGTTGTTGGAACAGGCAGTGTATCAGAAACACAGAAGTTGGATTCTGCGACAGTCAGGACTTCCTCCCGTTAAGCCTCCTGTTGGTGAGTAGAGAGCAGCGTAATCCCTGGAGATCATCCCTGTACAGCAGGGTGAAGTTGTAACAGGGCTAACAGTGTGGGTTTAGACCATGCCAATTTACATGGGGATCTTCAAAATGACAGAAATAGTAGCTCTGTACCCATCAAGGCGATTTTGGTTTTTAGCTGACCATAAAGAGGGCTGTGTGTCATTTTTGTTCTGTTAACTTTTATTTTTATTAGTAAGTTAGTTGTACTTAAATTCATCATGGAGAGTTGGTACCTGTACTAGGACATCTTAAATCTTTTTACCTCCCCTCTCCTGTGTCCCTTGTGTCTCCAGTTTTAAAGAAAAACACGTGCCACTGAGTAAATCCTGGAAAAACAGGACTTTTTGTCTTGTAAGCTGACAATAAATTGCACCTTGAGCAATCTTGCATCTTGCCTGATTTAGGAGCCCAGTTCTCAAATGATCTGTTTTTGACAGTGGGTTATTACCGAGATCCTCCTTTACCATTTGTTAATATTTATCTAACTTTGCCTGTCTGTATTTGTTTTATGAAGTTGGGCATGTTATTATTCAGTGTGTTTATAATCGTCATCCCTTCCTATGGAATTATTCACTTCACCTATGTGTAGTGACTTTCTTTGTCTCTTCTGACTAGTTTTGGCTTGAAGTCTACTTTGTCTAAAGTTAATATCACTACAAAATTTACACATTTTGGGTTTTGTTGTAAAACAGAGAAAAAAAGTGATCTAAAGGATACAACTGCAAGTGTGTTTAGGTGTGTTAAGATAAATGAACATATTACTAAATTTTTGTTGGATCACTGAACACAACTGTTTGCAGTCTCACTGTTTGAATGTCCACTTTGTATGCTTTAATACTGTAACTTGAACAACCATTTCTAAGATGACAATATGTAATCTATTATAATTTCTTACCTTTTTTTGCAATTCTGTATTACTTGTACCATTATACTGTTTTTTCTTTTTTTTTTTCTTTTAAATAAAAAAAATAAAGTTAGGATCACTACTTCTTTCTCTTTTCCTGCGTGGAATATTATTTTCCATCTTTTGATCTTTAATCTGTGAATTTCTTTTTGAATTAAATGTGTTTCTTGATTCCTGCGTATCATAGGATTTTGTTTCTGGATCAGTTCTGCCAGTCTGTGTCTTTTGGTGGGGAATTGAAACCATTTCACACTGAGAGTTTTTACTGAAAACTATCGACTTATTCTTGTTGATATTCCTTTCCTTTTTTTTTTTTCTTTTGCTTAACTGCTCATCACACCGGGTATATTCATTCTTTTTGATTTATTGACATTGTTGGCTTTATTGTTGTTTTCCAGAAATACCCTTAAAATTTTTGTTTCTTTTTAAATCTATTTTACTTTAAAGAGAAAAAAAAGAAAAACAAACAAAATTTCAAAGCACAATAATTAGAGATTGTTATCTTCAAGTCAGTTGAAATTTTTTGGTAATGCTGGTTTGGTGGCCATGAATATCTTGTCTTCTTGTAATGGAAATACTTTATGTCTGCATCAGTTATGAAGGAGAGTTTTGCAGGATGCATAAGTCAGGTTTGGAAGTTATCTTTTAGAGCTCAAAACACTTCAGTCCTCCTGGCCTTGAAGTTTTGTGTTGAGAGGTCTGGTGTAATTTTAATGCGTTTACCTTTCCATGTAATTTGTTGCTTTTCTGTAATAGCACTTAAGAGTTTGTCTCCTGTGATAGGTTTCTGGTACTAAAAGTATAATAAGCTCTCTTTTGATCATGCCTCCACTTATTGGTGTGCTTGTTTCTTTTCCTGTATTTGGGGAGTTTTCTGCCATTATTTCAGTGAATATTTTTATGCTGTTAGTGTTATCTTCTGATTTATCGCTTTTTCCAATTACTCATAGGCTTTTTTGTGTCATCCAGTGGTTGAGTCCATTTTTCATGTTGTCTTGTTGGTTTGTGTAGTTGGTCTCTGAAAGCACCACTGCCTTCGAGTTCTGAAATTCTGTTCTCACACTGGTCATTTCTGCAGCCCAAACTTTCAATATAATTTTTAATCACCTGGATTTCTGATTTTAACCTTCTTATGGACTCCAATTTTTTTTCTAAACTTGTCATTATGGTTTGTATAGTTTTGTTTAGCTCAGCTAGTTTGTTATTTGTGTCTTCTGGAAGCGTCTGGATCACTTTGGTTATTACTTCCATTATCTGCTTCGTTATGTCTTCTGTGGTCCCTCTGTGTACCTCTCTGATCTGTTTTCCAACCTCCTTTGAAGTAATTCTCATGTGTGGCTTATCCTGTTCTCTATCCCCTGGATTGGCTTCATGGAGCTAAGAGATTCTGGAGGCATTCTGTTGCCTTTTAGTCCCCCGTTTCTCTTGGGCTTTTTGTTTTATTTTGTGTTAAATTTATGGATGGTTTTAGTGTAAAGACTTTGTTGCTAGTGTAGAAATCTTTTTAAATGGTCACTTTTAGTGACATATTTTGGGCTAACTACAGTGGTACGTCAGTTGACAAATTTAATCTGTTCCCTGATTCTGGGAAAAATGGCCACAGTTGCATCTGTCTAAAATAGATGGCCGCAGTCATGTTGGTCACCAGATGAAGAGTTTGTAAACAAACAGAATTTTGCCAAATGCTTCTGTTTGGAAACCAAATTATTGACAATCAAAAGCATTTGTGAACTGAGCTACCACTGTGACTCAGGCAGAGAGGTTTTTATGGGGTTTCAAACGGGAAGTAGAGAGGTAGAGTCCGTGGCTGTCTTTGATTGGTTTTTGTAATATGTTTGATAAGACCAGCTGTGCATCACAGTGACCAGCTGTTTCTAAGAAACAGAAGTAGCAGGAACTGATATCTGGGCAACTAACAGAAACTCAAGTACACTGGCTGTGGGAGTGTGGGGATGTTTCTGTCACTCTGCGATGTGGTTTAACAAGTGTAGATCTCTTTGCAATACCTCAGACCACTGAAGCTGTGAAGAATATGATGCCTCACATGTAGCATTATTTCCTCAGAATATGATGTTCAAGGTCATTTTCTTAGTTCATCAAGCTTGATTCCCAGTTCTTCCCATCCTCTTGCCTAACCCCATCCTCAGGCAATTACAGCACACAAGCCTTTCTGTACCTTGCAGCAACTCTCCTCTCTTGTACCTGACATCAGGAGCTTATTATTCTCTTCTCAACTGACTCGGTGACCACACCAAGTAATAAAAAAAATCTCTATCAGAAAATGAAATAGTTTTACAAATACTAATGAGTTCCTTAAATACAACAGGGCTCCACTGACACTTTTTCTTGGACATACTCTTAAATAGAAAATATTCTCATAGAACAAACTAAAGTATATGTAACTCAACTGAAACTATCCCATGCATATTATCAGATCACATAACAATGAGATTGGAAATCAATGGCAAAGGAAACCAAAGAACTAGTACACTGATATAGCTCAGAGACATAAGTGCCTGCCTGGCAAGTGCAAAGTATGGAGTGCAATTCCAGATACATAAAAAGAAAGGAAGGGATGAGAGAAAGAGAGAGAGAGAGAGAGAGAGAGAGAGAGAGAGACAGAGACAGAGAGACAGAGAGACAGAGAGAGACTGAGAGAAAAGGGATAAACCACAAGTGCTCCATAAACAAATGGAAATTAAATAACACCATCCTAAAAAACCAATGTGTCACAGATGAAATTAACAAAGAAATTGGACAATTTATACACTTAAAAGATAACAGTAGTACAACCATACTTGAAATTACAGGACACGCTGAAAGTAGTCCTAAAAGGGAAATATTTAGC